TATAATATTATATTTTTAATTTACTAGCTAAAGAAAAGCTGAACCTCTGGATCTGTCTGGTTGTAATATTTGCGGGTTTTAGTTGTAAAAACAGAATAAATAAATCCAATTTAAAAAAAACAAGTAAATTTACGTCGCATATTGATATATGCGACGTAAATTTACGTCGCGTATACCATATGCGACGTAAATTTTATGTTTTTTTTTTTAAATTGAAAACGTTTTTACGTCTGTGTAGTGTATATGTCACGCAAAATTACATCGGATCTTCATAAATGACGTAAATCTACGTCGGGCAAAAGAGTCCGACGTAAATTTACGTCTCCCACTTTAACGTCGGACTTAAATACGACGTAAAAAGCTCTAAATACCGACGTAAAAGCCCCTTTTTGCACTAGTGCGTGTTATAATGCTTTTTGTTTTAATAATGATTTTTTTGAACGTAACATTATAATATTTTTATTGACAATGCAACCGTTAATGTAACATTATAATATTATAAAAGAATTTTTTCATTATTATAAATAATTATGTATCATAAAATTATAAATAACTAAAATTATTTCCATACTATGATTTCTAATACATAACTATACATAATAGATTTTAAATTCATATTTATAAACATTTCATTGGTGGAAAGCAATCTTATGATTTTAATCAATGAAAACATGCCAAAAAATTCAATTACATCCATACCCATTGAATTAATAATAATAAGTTAGTGTTTGCATGATCCATAAAAATGTTATAATAATGTTATTGCAAAAAAAAAAGCACTTTAAGTAACTTATTTTATTTAGACTAAAAAAAAGTCACTTATTTTATTGTATTTTACAAAGTGGATTTGCTAACGAGATAGCTATCCACCATCTATGTGTTATGAATATGAATTAATGAGATTATGAAGTGGATTAACTCATGAGATAGCTATCCACCATCTTGGCGGTCAACACAAAAGTGGTCGAATAGTAAAAGTATATCTTTAGAAAAAATATTAGAAAGAGAAAAAAAGTGAGCATAATAAATATAATATGATATGAAAAAGTAAGATAGATAATATAATTATGTATTATATGGGTGTGCATTGAGTTTAGTTTTATTTCTTTCATGTTTTTTTTTTTTTTTTATGTAACTTCATAACTTCCATTGAGTTTTATTTCTTTGATTGAGATAACCACACAATTTGGGAATTGACATTGTAAAATCAATAAATTTAGATTTTGAATTGGACAATCACTATCGATTTGGTCTTTGAATTTAACAATTGTAAGTTTATTTAGTCCCTGATGTTAAGAATTGATTTAATCAGTGTACATCAAAGTGAAAAAACAAAATCATCGTATCACAATGTCCTTATTTTTTTCAAAGTAGAATGGCTTATCATATTATTTTGAAATATTAAAACTAATTACTTTGAATTATAATTTATTATACAATAATATCATCAGCATTAATCACTCTTCTGTTTTTATATTTAGTATAACATTATTTTATCTTAGATTAAAAGAAAACATTAGTTTTTGGGGTGCTTTATCTTTTTACGAAAGGAGTGGTGAGAGACCAAGTAAATAGCGCGTGAAATGCAATATGGCCGAAATGAAAGTGTTGCAGAAGTTTCTCGAAACGGCCGCAGCTGACCAAAGACGTTATGGGACCATTAATTAGACAGACACTGAAAGCTTCAAATCCCTGGTTAGAAAAAAAAAGCGGAAAATGTAACAATTAAAATAAATAAATAAATTAAACCATAATTCGAAAATTATACTGATTAGAAGTTATTAGCAAAAGTTTTATCTGATAATATAACTAGGATTAATTTTTATATTTAAGAATTTATTGATTCTTATTTATCAAAAATAATTTATATAATCAAAATAATTTAGATATATATTTTTTATTTAATTTCAGTAAAACGATAATAGAAGAACTTTAAAATAGGCAATAACATAAATATTAACAGAAGCGCATTACTGTAAAGTGTCAATAAAAAAACTTTTATTGACACTCTAATAAAACACAAATTTATCACACTTATTTATGATCGTATAACAGTAGTATAGGAATGTTGGTTCTTTAAATACGAGGCTAGTTTAAGATGAGAATGATCCATAGTTAGAAAATGAAAATCCATCTCTGATTAACCTAATTTCCAAAACTGAGTTTGATTACATTTATGATGGTGGGTGGATATATCATATCATATCATATGTTTGGTGAGAAGAATAAATGAAAGTCACGAAATTTGTTTTGTCAGGTTTTGATTTTGATCTCTTATGTTTGAGATTTTCTAGTCCCCCCATAATTTATTTGCAATTCCTCTTTTTTGGGGTAATTTCATTACCAAACACACACAGAGTCACGGGAATATTAATTAGTACAGTGTTATCCAAATCAAATTACCAAATCATTAAAAAATTATATATAGAAAAAAATTAATCAAATTACTACTATTTAACTTTATTTTAGTTTAGATTACACTTTTTTTCCCTTGTCTATTTCATTTTAATGTATATTTTTATTTAACTTCCTCGTTTGTATATTGATTATGAAGATTTGTACTCCGTTTTTGATAATTATGATAGCTTTTATGGTTTTTCTTGAGTAAGGGTAATTCTTTTGAAATTTATCAAGATAAATATTTTTTTAAATAACGGATTTAGTAATTCATGCTATGAGATACTACTTAAAAATGAAAAGCCTTGATTCAATTTTCATATTATTATTTTTTTCTTAAATAAAAATCCTATTAGGTAATATCAAATTTTTTATATTATAATATTTTATTATAATATGTTTTTATTATTAGTGTTATTAACTACTAATCATAAATATTCAAACAACTTTATCTTGAATTTTTATTAAAACTTTTCAATATATAAATTATAATATAATCAGGAGATATTGAATAACAACACACCTTATTCAATATTTAAGAAAAATTACAATATTAAAAAATATTAATCACACAAATTTCAAGTTATCTTATATTAATGTTATTCACCTTCAAAACATTAATATATAATAATTTTTTTTAAAAGACAGAACAAATTCATTTGAAACTTTGATGAAATAATTTCACATTTAAATTTGATTTTCTTAAGATGTTGTACCGATTCAAAAATTGTCCACTAAAATTTTATTTCACCATGCTTTAATCTTTTATCAACATATAATTCACTGATAAAAGTTTTCTTCCATTTGAAAAGTTGAAATTTATTTGAAAGATAATTGATTAAAAAAAATTTAATCGATTATTTATATAGACTAAAAATAAACAATATACTTTGTATTATTATTGGTATATAATGTCAAAAGATATAACCACGTAATAATATAAAAAATTATTAACAGTTAATATTAAAACATGAATTTGAATCTTATTTTTTAATATAATGGATTATTATATATTTAATTAATTTTAATATAATTGATTAATTATTTTATCTTTTTATTTTAATAATAAATAAACCATTATTTATTAACAATGAGTAATAAAATAAATAATAAATAAATTTATATTTTTATTCAAAATAATAATTATTATATTATTATATTATTTTTATTAAATTATTATTTAACTGTGTCTTGAAATTTGTTTGTTTATGCAGTTCAAACAACATAAATATATTGAATCTACACCTATAATTCCTGTAGTTGAGATTAATATCTGAATAAAAAAATTGTGTTGATTTTTTTAAAAAAAATCTTATGAATAATATATTAGTCTTTATAGATAGACTAATAATTTTAATTTCTAAAATTACAAAAAGAAATTTGTTAAAAAGTTAATTGAGGAGACTTAACAAAAAGTTAAGTAGAAAAGCGATTATAATTTTAAAAAATGTTTTGTTTTGTTAAATTTTGAAATAAAATAACAATAATTATATTGAAATATAAATTTATAATATACTCATCTATCTAAATAATAAATTATTTCAACAATCGATTATCCACAATCTAAATTTAGATTGTTTCAAATGCACATCAAACACCAGAATTATTTGTTAGAAAAAAGCTTTAATACAGTATTTTACATGTTGTTTTTATATTTACATGATGATTTAAAAAAAAAAACGTATTTTTTTTCATGAGCAATTTTAACATAGTTTTAATTTTTTTCTGTTCACAACACTTGTTATACACAAACAAACATAATTCTCCTGATTGTAATTCTCTTGATTGTTTCTGTTCCTTGCCCACTTATTAAAAAAAATCGCATATTCTTATAAAACATTTTGTATCAGGTAAATTATTAAGATGAAATTTGAATTTTAATTAAAGGATGGTAAAAGCAATATTTAAATCAGTGTGTTTATTCTACTTAAAGTAACATTTTTTTAATAAATAAATATGTGACAACAGCTAAGAACCACCGATAGCACCACGAATTCAGCAAAGTGTCTCGTACTTATTGATCTGGCATATTTTTTATTCAATTATTATTTTTTGTATTACAATCATGTTTTGTTATGTTGGACGTTTGCAATGTCTATGACGTGCCATGAAACATGTATTATAAGAATGTTTATGATAATACTATTATATTTACAAATATTGTATTTTTATCACCTAACACAAAACAAATAGAAATGGCATAATTAATTACTAGCTAACCAAAGCCACCAATACCATATTTTTATTTTATTAATTTCGAACAAAACCTCTTGTTAATACCTAAAACAATGTCCATTCAGGTTTATATACAGCCAAAATAAACAGCATACTAGGAACCATCTTGTATTGGATTGTGGGTAAAATATGTACTAAAATATTATTATTATTATTATTATTAGTATTATTATACTATGATGTTCATGTTCATAGTTAATAGTTAAAAGTTATTAATAACTAACGGATAAGTACAATGCAGGGGATAGAGAAGGGGAAATGAAGAGTGAAGAGTGAAGAGAGACCCAAGTTTTCCCTCCAAAATCCAAAATAGAGGGTCTCTGGATTGAACTTTGAAGTTGAATCGTTAGTTATCATCAACGAATTTAATGTCAAAGAAACAGAAACATCTCTTCTTTAAATCCCCAAATCTTAATATATGTCCCTTCGTTCACTCCCACTCTCTCCACCGTCGGTTACGCGTCGCCGACATTCTTCTCGCCGACCAAGACCACGGCGGCGTCGGTTGCATGGACGCCGTCCGAGAAACATCGTCGAACAAGTGCTTTTCGCCTCGCAGGCTCGTTGCTTCGTTGCTCTCGCCTCTGAGGCCGGCCAAGGGTCTCCGACTTCAGCAACGGCGGCAGAACGAGACTGCTGATTTGGACGCGCCGCCTTCGCCGACGAATGTACTGAAAGGAAGCGATGAGTCAAGTAGAATCTCTGGTTATTTGCAATTTCATTTTGTTTATTGTTAATTTCATAACCTTGGCTTCGAAAGATACCTAACTGTTACTGTGTGCTTAATTCCTTCGATGCTTCTTCGCTAGTGTCTTTACCGTCAGGTTTGATTTCCTAATTAGACCTAATATAGTTGTACTACTACTGCTTGTGTTTTTTGGATTTGATTTTAATTGTGAAAATTGGTTAATATTGTAGATTGTATGTTTATGAAGTGCTATGTGATTCATTACAATGCAATGCAATTTCTGGATAAGCTGAACCATAACCTTTGTAATTGTATCAAGACTCTGAAAACCAGTATTTATGTTCATTTGAAGTTTGTTATTATATTGATACATCACTTTCGTATAATTGTACATAAACATAATTTCAGGTTCCGCAATTACTAACTTTGTACGTGTAGGACAATATAGTTCTTTTCATAGTTATGATTTTCCTTTTACAACTGAAATTCTTTTCTAATCTTTTGTTTTTCGAATATAAATTCTACAGACACGTGAGCAACTAATGATTGTTTTTCTGTAGGGATGAAAAAGGCAGTTTAGTTTTACTCTTTTAGTGATTCATTGGTTTTGTTCCTTTCTTTCTCTCCACATTCTTGCAGTTTTGTCTTGTCTTTTTCCCGGATTTTGTTGTTAGCTATATGATGTTGCTGATGTTATGCAGCAGGACAGTTACATGAGAGTGATACGTCTTTTAAGCTAGGAGTTGGTTGTGGCTTGCTATATCTGCTTGCAGCAAATAAAAATGAGCTCGACAAGATGGTTGAGCTGCGGAAAGAAATGGAGGTGCTCCTTCAAAACGTGAAAGGGGAACTACAGAGTAAAGATGCGCCTCTTAATCCATTGAAACAAAATGACGCTCTTGCCCTTTCTATAACTGATATACAAGACGTTTCCAGCTCTCATAGTCACATTTCTATTCATTCACAAACCCGGTATGTTCAACCAGAGTCAAAAAGCAGTATGGTTCCTAATGGTTTTTTAGAGTGTAACATAAGTGAACAAGGTAAATGCGCGGAAGAAATAAATGATCTCCAGGCAGAATTTGAAATTGAGCTACAGAGGTTGCAGATGTATTTGGATGGAGAAGCTGGATTCAAAGATGCAAAACAAGAGGGAGTCAAGGTAGATTATTTCATAGTTGGATTCCTCCTAAATTACCTTTTCCTGAAGCTGATAGGCCAACTTTGTTTCATTGATTAATAATTAATCAAGCAAGGGAATAAATTTGCACCAGTTAGATCCCAATCAAGCCATTTATTCTATTCCTTGTTTCTTTGAGGTGTGTGTCAACCAACACATGGTCAGAAAACTATTATATAATTAGAACAATCTGTTGGATACATGAACCTTTCACACATCAATTTGAGAATAATCTCCTTAATCAGTTGAATGTCAACATCTAGATGAAGCTTCACTGGAAGGCCCTTATACTACTACCAAATACTGTTTCTAGATACGGAGGCTACTCTTGGTAGAAGCAAAAATTATGAAATTTATACTATTTTTGCGGCAATATGCTGCATTTATTTTTCCTGTGCTTGTGCCTTTACTGTAGGGTGTAAATACTTCCGTGTTACTTTTTACTTCAGTTTTATTGGTTATTAGTTATATTCCAGAATGGCTGAAAACAGGAATTTGCAGGTAACTGTTAAAGACTTTAGTTCGAAAAGTAGCCATAGTTCAAGCTTTGGTGAAATAATAATGGAACCTCTAGGAGCAAGCTATGACGTATCATTTGGAGTTCCTCCAATTGAACTGGAGAGAAGGTTGCATGAACTGCTTGAAGCAAGACTAGAAGAACGGATAACAGAGCTTGAGTCTGCATTAGAATGCACCACACAAAAGCTTATCAAGAAAGAGATAGAGGTTACTTGGTGGAAAGACACCGCACGACTTCTCTCACAACATGTTCCAGAAACTTCTCGGTTTACTTTCCCACTTGATCCTGAGGTTGCTTTGAAGTTGAGTAAATTTGTAGGATAGTTTTTATCAGTGTGAAGTCAATTAAGCAACCATAATATAGTTGAGTAGTACAGTTTAATGACCCGTTGTTATATGTATATACGTTTTTTTTTTTTTTTTTCAAAATTTTGGTTTAGTCCTCTAGAGTCAATAATGGTTTGGAGGATTATTTTAAATAGGTTTGGAGTTAAAATTATTTTCCATTACTACACAAGATGTATGAAAATTGGAGCCTTTTGGGATTTATCCTTATGTTAAGTTTTAAGTTGGGGACGGTATGGTACTGCAGGGAAATCTGTTGGATGTAACCCAACTCTAGCTTTTGACTGCAAATTTTCTAACTCTATCGAGACTTGATTTCATTATGTTCACCATAAGCAGATATGTTGGAACTCTGTTATGAAAGGAAAATGATACTTTGAGAATCCAAATTCATACAACTCATACAACTTTCTTTTAATATTATAATAATAGTTTTAATTTATTTTTATTTTTATTAAATCATTCAATAGATTATTATATTAATATAAAGTGAGTTGTTTGAAGGGTTGTATAATTTGTGGTTGTCAAAATATCATCATCCATTATGAAATTTGTCATTAAATTATAAAAGCTTAATTTTTTTACTAAAATATTCTGAGATAGTTTAGGCCACTTTGTAATAAGTTTATATCTCTTTGAATGTTACTTTTGAAAAAAAAAAATACTGATATTCCAAAATAAATTTATTTTGGGTTACGATGTATAAATTAAGAAATATTTGATTGATATAGAATTAAATTTTTAAGATTTTGGGAATTTTTGCCATTTCAATATCTCTGAACCCAGATATCTATTCTTTTACAATGTCGTTTCAATTTATTTTTTTTAAATCGTTTTAAAATATACTCTTGATTCTTATATAACGTCATGATGGGTACCAATTATTCCAACTTTGGAAGAACAACAATAATAAAGATCGAAGCTACTTTATGCATTTAGCACCCAGTTTTTCTTGAAGTTTAGGCAATGGAATAGTTTCTTGCTTTTCCTTTTCAATGGAATATACTTCCATGCATTGAAAAATTGTGCCGATTTTTTCAATAATAATAATAAAAAATCCATTATCTTGTGGCTATTGATGAAACGTTTGGTATTCACGTGAAAACTGAAAAGGGAGAATGGAACGAATGGAAGATAAGAGGGCTTGATGCTGAGTGGGAACCCACATCTGTGGCTGAAACGATTCACTTTACCGCGCTTCTTTCTGTTTCTTCCACTTCCACTTTTCTTTTATCTTCTATTTTGAAATATCATCAAGTTTCACATTTTCATCTAGAGTCTTAACTCTTAATCCCATTCCAACAATGTGTATCCAATAAATTGAAACGGTCATGCATGCAATTAATGTGTACCCAGATATCTGACTTTTTCTTTCCACGGTCATAGATGTAATTAATACTACGATTTCTTTCTGTTATGGGTGCCAAACCAATAAAGACACAATGGGATTAGTTGCCGAACAAATAGTGTCAAACGTTTGGGTAGCCTTGACCATTGAATTGACCTTGCCGCTTCACACGTATTATAAGACATTAATTGTTTTCTTTGGTCTTTTCTTATCCAACGTTGTTTTCTGCTAACCAGTGTGTCTTAAAACAATAACATGATGCTTCGGTTCCTTCTGCCACTTGTCGTGTTGGCGAGTTGTAAGGAGAGTAACAAAATGGCGAAAGCACAGTATACAGTAGATTCAGCCAGAGCGTCTTTGGTTAGACAAGAAGACACCATAATATTTGCTTTGATCGAGAGAGCCAGGTTTCCTTTGAATTCCCCAACTTACAATCAGAGTTACACTTCCATTCCCCAATTTCAAGGTTCATTGCTTGACTTTGTCATCAGCAATACAGAGGCCATGCAGTCCAAGGTGCCTTTTACTTCACCTCAGTCTATTTTGTAACTCTAGAATTTGCGTTTGGTCATAAGATCTTGAACATGTCAACTATTAAGTTAAGAAGACCAACATTTACAGCTGATTCTAATAATTGACTATCCAATAAATTCAATATGGCAATAGTAATTAGAATAGAATAGATTACGATAATATCTTAAAATTGGAATAAGAGTCTATATGTAACCCCAAATAATTCATCATAAGAGTTTTCTCCGCTTAGATCAAATCATAACAATTGGCATTACATTTTACTTGCTTTTGAGTCTCATCATTATCATAGGCTTAAATCTAGACTACCAAAAATCTAAACTATTGTCATGGTTGTATGGTGGTGATACCTTACAGAAAATCATAGACGAGTGAGGCTGGCATGGCCACAGTAGTGTTTGCGATGTGATCATATGAAGATCTCAAAAACCTTAATGTTTCTGTTGCAATTGCAGTTGTAGATAGGCTTTAAAAGGCCTTGTCAAAATAATTATTAATATCTAGCTTATAAGTTTTGATACCAAGGCTTGCTAATTTTTTGTTTTGTTTTGTTTTGGTTTGATGGTATGTTTCAGGCAGGAAGATACATTAATCCTGAAGAAAATCCTTTCATCCCAACAAATTTACCACCCTCGGTTGTGCCACGTTACCCCTTCTCACAGGTGATTTGGAAATCTGCTGCATGATTTGTTTGTTACTTAGTGGGAAAAGGATCTATTGAAACGTTATTTTTAGTTTTTGCATCCTGCAGCTGCTTTGATTAACATGAACAAGGAAATTTGGAAACTGTACTTCAATGAGCTGCTTCCAATGTTTGTTGCTTCCGGTGATGATGGCAACTATGCACAAACTGCTGTGACCGATCTTATGTTGTTGCAGGTAAATTTCCTGTGGAAGGTCTTTCACGATCAAGTTAGTTGGTGATGTTATGCAGAACAATATTTACAACATCAATGCAGTTTAAAATTTCAGTTCAGTGAATGTGTTTTTGTCTACCTCAACTAGAGATTTTACTACAACAATAGCCTTAAATAGAGTTAGTTGTAAGTTCTGACACTTTCTTTATTCCATTAAATATCTGCAGGCCATCTCTAGAAGGATTCATTACGGAAAATTTGTAGCTGAGGCCAAATTCAGAGAAGCTCCTCAAGGCTATGAGCCTTTAATTCGTGGCAGGGTATATATGTTTTCATTCTTAACAATTGTAGTGGCTAGCTAGTGAATGGAGAGTTTGTTGATGTTAGTTAAGTATTCTTCATCTTTTAAGATCAACAGGGGTGAAGGTTGGGAATACCGATCATAATTTCAAGCAAAATATTAGGTTATGGGTTATTACCAAGGTTTCAAATTTCAACAGAAATTAATGTAACACTTTCGTCACAATCTTTGAAATTGGAGACAATTATAGATAAATATAGAGTGAATGTGGTCACATTTGTAGTTGTTGTAGATACCTAATATCAAACAGCTTGTTGAGTGTTGGCAACATGTCTGAATTTTTGTTGGCTTAAGACTGCATGTAAAGGTTGAAACGGTAAACGTTTGGTCTGTGCAGGACAGGGAAGCATTGATGAAATTGTTGACATCTGTGAGAGTTGAAGAGATGGTGGTGAAGAGGGTTGAAAAGAAGGCCATGGTGTTTGGACAGGAAGTGAGTCTTGACCATGATGTCAAGGGAGGAACATACAAGGTTGATCCATCAGTGGTTTCTCTCTTGTACCAGAAATGGTTAATACCCCTCACAAAAACTGTTGAAGTTGAGTACTTATTGAAACGTCTCCATTGAAGCCATTTAATTTAAGAAATGGATATTGTGTCATTGTTTGATTTAAATTATCAGTTTCTTATGTGGTTGCTCAGATTCTTATCGGAGTATTACTTAGAATGTTTTGCATATCCTTGTATAAAAGGAATGCATAGTATTATGCAAGAAAGATTGAAAATTATATTCTTGCAAACCATTTCTTGTTGGATAGTTGCTCAGATTAATAACTATGAATGATGTTCATCAACCAAATTATGAATACATTAAAGTATAGTTTTTTTTTCTATTTAGTAAAAAATATATTTGAATTTATTTTATTTTCTACTATTTTGTTTTATACATTGGCTATATGAAAATGTTAAATGGTTTTAATATTTATTTTTAAAAAAATTCAACGAGTTTAAAAATAAGATAATAATGTGAATATCTAACAGTAGAAAAATCAATACTCCAGTAAAAATTGTTGTATTCACCTTCTTTCAAGTATTCTAAAATATGGCCGTTTAGAAACTCGTTTTCTTTTATAGTTTTCAATAAATTAAATTAATAAAAAACTGTATTGCAGGCTTATTAAATTTAATTAAAAAACTAATTAATAAAAAACGACAATTTTAAATTTATGATTTTTAATAAATATCATCTAATAGTAAATAATTTTAAAAATGTTAATACAGATAACGTCTTTCCAATTAAGTCTATAAATGAAAATAATATATAAATTTTAATAAATCTGAAACATAAATTTTAGTCTTTTTTGTCTCATTAAAAAATAATATTTTAGAATTTCAAATTTTAATAGTGTTATTCTAAATACACCTTTATTTAATATTTATATTTATCATTGATGATACAAACAATAAAATCCAAATATGAAATAAGGGTACTGTAGGAAAATATAATACTATTTTATATACATTAATTTTTTATATAAATAAATAAATAAATTTTTTTATTTTGTCTCTACAAGTATATTTTTCTTTTAGTTCCATATTCAAAGACATCTCTTTTTAGTCTTTCTCGTACCATTCTTATGGAGTGAGTGAGGAGACATGCGTCTTTTCCAATTATACCCCTCTCCAACACGCACAAAGCATTTCATTCCTGCAAATTGAAACGGGTAGTGTTGTTTTGTTCATAGCTCATAGTCACACTCAAACTCCCACTATAGAGTAGAAGAGAGTGTAGAAAGATCAAAACCCTAAACTATAACCCTAGCTTCGTAAAACGCATTGATTAGAATGGGTCACGTGGGTTCCAGCAAGGACGGCACCAAGGCGGGGATGGCCACCGCGATGATGGACATCGACGATGATGACGACGATCTCGGTGACCTCGACCCGACCAATGCCGAAATCCTCGAAGAATTCGGCGGAGAGGACGCGTTCCGATACCACTGCAAGAAGTTCTCGATGCTGTTCTTCGAGGAGTATGGTCTGATAAGCCACCAGATAAACTCCTTCAACCACTATGTCGAAGCCGGCCTCCAGAGAACCTTTGATGGTTTCGGCGACCTTGTCGTCACACCCGGCTTCGACCCCTCCAAGAAGGGAGACAATGAGCACTACCGCTACGCCACCGTCCAGTTCGGCAAGGTCAAGCTTGAGAAGCCCATGTTCTGGGGCGGCGACGCCAATGCACAGGAGTTTAAGATGCTTCCGCGACACGCACGGCTTCAGAGAATGACTTACGCGTCGAAAATGAAAATTGTAGTTAAAGTTCAGGTAGGGAAAATAGAGTGGTGTTGCTTTAATGTGTGTGTGTAATGTAGGTTTGTTGCTTCTGTCAGAGGAGTTTCTGATGTGTATTTGTGTGGACTTGTAGGTGTATGTTCCGAAGAAGGTTCGGAGTGATAAGTTCAAGACTGGGAAGGAAGAGTTCCTTGATAAAGAAATTCTTAAGGAAGATGAGAGGGAGATCATCATTGGGAGATTGCCTGTTATGGTCAAGTCTGATTTATGTTGGATGAAAGGTGAAAAGGATGATTGTGAATTTGACCATGGAGGTTATTTTCTTATCAAGGGTGCAGAGAAGGTTGGTTTGTATTTAATTTTTTTGATGATTTTTAGGTTGAATTTATTTTAGTGTTTAGTATTTTTGTAGGTCTTTAATCTCTGAGAAAATAATATGTATACTGGTTGTACACTGACAACCAATAAAAACTAAAAAAATGGCCGTGTATGATAAATTTGTTGAGTTTTACAGTAAGTCATATTTTAGAACATTTTCTGATTGATTCAGTGTAAAAAAACCTTTTACACTGATGGTGAAGGAAATTAATATCTTAGATCGTTGTCGTCGTGTGTTTGCGATTTATTTTTTAATGTTTAGGCTATGTTGAGTAATATTGATTTTGTTTCTTGTGAAAAATCGTTGCAGACTTTTATTGCACAGGAGCAACTGTATTTAAAGAGGCTATGGGTTTTAAAGAGTCCATGTTGGATGATTGCCTACAAGTCACAGATGAAGAGAAATAGGATGGTTATTAAGCTAGTAGGCAATTCTAAGAATGAAGAAGGGGAGAACGGAGACATGTTTCTTACTGTGTATTTTTTGTCTGTTGAGGTTCCTGTGTGGGTACTATTTTTCGCTCTTGGTGTCACATCTGATAAAGATGTTGTAGATCTCATTGGTTGTGACAGTGATGATGTCAGAATTCAGAATATTCTCCTTGCGTCTGTTCGGGATGCTGATGAGAAATGTGGAGCATTTCGGAGAGGAAGGAATGCAGTTCAATATTTAGAGAAGTGCGTAAAAAGTGTCCAATTTCCACCTTCGGAGTCCATTCAGGAGTGCCTTGAAATGTATGTCTTTCCTGGAATTAGCGGCTTAAATAGAAAGGCACGCTTCCTTGCGTATATGGTGAAGGGGCTCTTGCTTGCTTATACTGGCCGCAGAAAATGTGACAACAGGGATGATTATCGTAATAAGAGGCTTGAATTGGCCGGTGAGCTTCTTGACCGTGAGTTGAAAGTGCACATAGCACATGCTCGAAAGCGAATGTCAAAGGCATTGCAAAGGGACCTTTATGGAGATCGGGATGTACGCCCAATTGAGCACTATCTTGATGCGTCAATAATTACAAATGGTTTGCAAAGGGCATTTTCAACAGGAGCATGGTCACATCCGTACAAGAGGATGGAAAGGATATCTGGTGTGGTTGCAAATGTTGGGCGCACTAATCCCTTACAAACCATCGCTGAGCTAAGAAGAACGAGGCAGCAGGTCCAATACACTGGAAAAGTTGGGGATGCTAGATATCCGTAAGTGACTTCAAAGTTTGTCTATTTAGTTCATTATTATTGTTGTTTTTTGTATTTGTGCAGTTTGTTACACTACTAAATTATGGCTAATTTTTTTTCCTTTTCTTTTTGCTTTCATTTATTATAATACAAGTTTGTGGATGCAGGCATCCTTCTCACTGGGGCAAGGTTTGTTTCATCTCTACCCCAGATGGTGAAAATTGTGGACTAGTAAAGAATATGGCTGTCACGGGGCTAGTAAGCACTGACGTGTCTAATGCATCTCAATCTATACTGCCTACACTGTTGGATTGTGGAATGGAAGAACTTGTCAATGATGTTTCCACTCATTTGGGCAACAAGGACAAAGTCTTCCTAAATGGTGATTGGGTTGGAGTGTGTCCAGATTCCAGATTGTTTGTGGCGGAGCTACGAAGTAGAAGACGTAAAAATGAACTGCCTCATCAGGTTTACTTTTAATATCCCATTTCAAGCGTTTTGTATGCCCTACTAGTCATATTTTATATATCTTTTAGAAAATTCTTTTATTTTGAGCCACGCAGGGTATCTCACCTTGTGGGAAATGGATTTTGCTATTGTTTTTATGTCTTTAATTTGAGCTACAAACTGTCAAATCTAGTAAAGTCCAACAGGTTTAATAGCTTAATGCATGACAACCTACCCCACCGATGATGTATCAACAAATGACATTACTGTTTAAGCATTTGGAAATTTAAGTCTATATTGGCTTGATAATTGTGTAGCTTAGTTTATGTCTTTGTGAGAACTATGATTGTCAATGAGTAGTAACATATGGTAAATGCTTTACCTGCATCACATGATCGGATTAACTGTTTGGACTTGTTTTTCTTTTGTGAATGATGCTATTGTTTGAAGACACCTTCCCTCTGTACGGTTTTCAGTTGCCTATCTTTGTGTATGCATCCATAGCTAGCTGTTGTATCAGGTTTTAGGCACTTTATTACTGTGGTGATTATATTGTTTTCTTCTGCTGGTTCTGTCATTAACTTTGTTGGGAAACATAACATACCTCTATTCTCTCTTTGTTTTTAATTTTGGTATTTACAATACATCAGTAAGAGTTAGTTGATCCTATTTCATTTGAACCTGATTATTTACTGTAACTTTTCTTTGCAGGTGGAAGTCAAGAGAGATCAATCTCAACATGAAGTGCGGATATACTCTGATGCAGGAAGGATTCTGCGTCCTCTCTTGGTAGTTGGTAATCTACTCAAGATTAAACGATTTAAATCAGATCGTTACACTTTCCAGACTCTATTGGAAGAAGGTGTGATTGAGCTGATTGGACCTGAAGAAGAGGAAGACTGCTGTACTGCCTGGGGTGTTCAGTATTTATTTGGAAAAGAGGGGAAAAGATCTGTGAAGTACACACACTGTGAACTTGATGTGTCATTCTTATTGGGTTTAAGCTGTTCACTTGTACCATTTGCTAATCATGACCATGCAAGGAGGGTACTCTACCAATCTCAGAAGCACTCCTCACAGGCTATTGGCTTTTCCACTTTAAACCCGAATATTAGAGTTGATACTTTGTCTCACCAGTTACACTATCCCCAAAGGCCTCTTTTTCAAACCATGACTTCAGATTGTCTTGGAAAACCAGCCTATCCACTGGGTCGAAGTAAAATACCTCCGAAGGCAGAATTCTATAATGGGCAGAATGCAATTGTGGCTGTCAATGTTCATCTGGGATACAACCAAGAGGATTCCTTGGTGATGAATCGTGCTTCATTGCAGCGTGGTATGTTCAGATCTGAGCATATAAGGAGTTACAAATCTGAAATTGAGAATAAGGAATCATCAGAGAAGAAGCGAAAACCTGAAGACATTGTAAATTTTGGAAAGCTACAAAGTAAAATTGGTCGAGTTGATAGCCTTGATGATGATGGCTTTCCATATGTTGGGGCAAACTTGCAGAGTGGTGATATTATCATTGGGCGATGTGCTGAGTCCGGTGCAGACAATAGTGTAAAGTTAAAGCACACTGAAAAGGGTTATGTGCAAAAGGTTGTGCTGTCTTCGAACGACGAGGGGAAAAATTTTGCATTCGTTTCATTGAGACAGGTAACTGGTGACTACCAAACTACATTATGGAAGATGCTTGTGCCCAAACTTGTAGGAATCACTCAATTAACATAGCTTACTGTATGCTCAAGTACGTGCATGTAGATGGCCATTCAAATGACATGGGTGTTTCATGTCAAAATAACTGAAAGCTAACTTAATTTGCTCACTGGATAAATCGGTTATTTAATAATTCTGCAGGTTCGAAGTCCAGTTCTTGGTGACAAGTTCTCCAGTATGCATGGACAAAAGGGAGTTTTGGGATTTCTGGAGTGTCAGGAAAATTTTCCTTTCACAAGACAAGGCATTGTTCCTGATATAGTAATTAATCCGCATGCATTTCCCTCTCGACAAACTCCTGGGCAACTCCTAGAGGCTGCTTTAGGAAAGGGGATTGCTTGTGGTGGTAAACTGAGACATGCTACGCCTTTCTCCACTCCTTCTGTTGATGCCATTACTGACCAGCTTCACAGGTATAGTTTGATCATACTATATAGTTTACTTCAAATGCAGTTTGGACTTTGGATTACTATGTGGTGTATATTATGTGACCCCCTGTTTAAAAGATGAACTTACATTTCAGCTTCTGCTTCTGTTTACTGTATGACTTTTTTTTTTATTTGCCTATAATGTCTTCAAAGTTGTGGATGGTCTCTTGTCTTCGCTCTAGTCTTGCTTTAAAATTAGAAGTATTTTGGCTAATTTCATTTTTAAAGCTGCAAGTATTATGTTCCCGTTGTTTTGCTAAGCCCTCACCCGAGTTACTTTTGAGGATATGGCAGAGCTGGGTTTTCAAGATGGGGAAATGAGAGGGTATACAATGGAAGGACTGGTGAGATGGTCCGATCACTCATTTTTATGGGACCAACGTTTTACCAACGTCTGCATCATATGTCTGAAGACAAGGTGAAATTCCGCAATACTGGTCCTGTTCACCCATTGACCCGACAGCCTGTAGCTGATAGAAAACGATTTGGAGGTATCAAGTTCGGTGAAATGGAGCGTGATTGCTTGATAGCTCATGGTGCATCAGCCAACCTTTATGAACGCCTCTTTACACTCAGTGACTCCTCTCAGATTCACATCTGCAGACAATGCCAAAATGTTTCAAATGTGATCTTGAGGCCAGTCTCTGGTGGCCGGAAAGTTAGAGGGCCTTATTGCCGCCACTGTGAATCTGCTGATGACATTGTGGTTGCCCATGTCCCATATGGAGCAAAATTATTATGCCAGGAGCTCTTTAGCATGGGCATAAATCTTAAATTTGAAACCCAACTTTGCTAGGCAGAACTAGTAACATGTCTCTTTTCTTCATTTCCCTTGACTTTGTTCAATGTAGATATCACTTTTATTCGTGCTTTTTTGAATGCCTCAGCCAGTTAGGAGTATTGCATGATATCCCAGCTTAATTTCTTTTTAGTATGTGTAGATGTCACTTTCATTTGTGCATGTTTTTTTCAATACCAGCCAGTTGGGAGTATTGCATAGTATCCTGGGCTAAACTTCAATGTCGTTGCATCATCTTTTTATGAGGCTAATTAACTCCAAGCCCCTCCCCGGAAACAAAGAGAACTTTGTAAACCGAAATACTTTGGTTTCTCTTGAAGTGATATGTGCATAATATTCAGATGATTTTGTTTTACTCTATAGTTAAACCAGTTGAATAAATGCATTACAAAATTTTATAAAGCGGTGCACAATACTTTAAAACAACTAAACTTGTTTAAAGACTTTTAGCTAAACATAGTTCTGAGTTTCCTCTTCACTTTTCCCCTAAATCTATCCGAATTAGTAGTAATCAGAACAATCCCAAACAAGTTATAAAATCTGACTAGAATAATTTTGTGTAAAAGAACTCACGTAAACCAATAAATCTGAGTAAGACAGTTTACTAATGTATCTCAAACGGTTTGGGTATAAGAAAAGTGACTCTAATAAGCTCAGTTGAAAGGAAGAATAAAGGGTTCATAATACTATGTTTATTCAGATGGAAGGTAACACTTATTAACAAAATCATTGAAGAAATGGTTGTTGTTTTTTAAATAAATCTGAGTTTTAATATAATTTTTGTTATAAAATATATAATATATTTTACTTTTTTATTTTATTTTAATAATTATTTATTTTCACTCTTTAACATATTTTATATTTATAATCTGTATTATAGTTATTTTTATTTTTTTATAAAAAATATTATTATCAATAAATTTATTATATTATAAAAATATTATTTTTTAAATACGATTAGATTCGAGTTAAATATTTAAATTTATTTAAATCTTGAACTCATATTTTCATATTTGTTTAATTTTAAAAATATTGAATAAATATTAAAAAAAAGTTTTAAAAATTTCCCATTAAACTTTAAAACCTTGAAACTATTTTCATACTAGTTTAATTTTAAAACATTGAACAAACTTTTTTTTTTAAAAAAGGAGTTTTAAAAATTAATTTTAAGAATATCCGTTAAATTTTTAAACTTTGAACCCATGTCGTTTAATTACCTATTTGATTTTAAAAATATTGATTATTTTTGGAAAAAAAGAAATTTAAAAATTATTTTTGAGAATATATAGCAATTTTTTTTATAAGCAAGATATCGATTGTTTAATTAAATATGGTAGAAAATAAATATAGTAAAAATATTTTTTTAGATTGGACGAAACATTTAATTATGTTCCGATTAGTGATAATATTTCTTCACAATTTGCGTAAAAAAATAAAATCTGGGGCATACCATTTTGTAAAAACCTTCTTCGTCTTTCCACTGGCCTAATCAATCAACTTTCATTCTCTTTTCTCGTCTTCCCCTCTTTTCACACTACCAAACCGACCTCGAATATGAAACTTTAATCAGGTGAAGTTTTTTTTTTTTTTTTTTCAAGTATTACTGGAAATTGTTGATTTAAAAAATCATTGAAACTAGTGTGTTTTACTTTATTTTTATTCCCACAAATAGGTGAACTTTTTTTCACATAGAAATAAGAAAAAATAAAATTAATTGTTAACCTAATTATTAGTTTTTTTTTTTACTTTTAGAATTTTTCTTATAATTAAAGTTTTAAAAATTCAAGAATGTTAAAATTTAACTTAACATTTTAAAATTCACCACATTCCTAATTATATTATTATGAGATTTGCCATTTCTGAAAAAATTATAATACACGTTGAAATAAATGCCAGTGTTCATCCCATGCTCCTTGCTTCCTCGTTTATTTGGTTTTCTTTCATCTTTCTTGGACTGATCCATCAAATTCTCTTTGATTAAATTGAACTTGTTTAACCTTTCTCCTGATCTTCAAATGGAACAGCATAGGCTGAGTTCCAATCAGCATTAAAAATTTCCGTAAGTTTAGAGATGATGGCAGTGCTGTATGTCCCAAAGCTGACACCTGCTGTTGTGTAGAAGTAGTCCCATACAAGATTGCTAGTCCCAATGTGTGCCCTTACATCACTAACTGCATATTTTCCATGATTTACTCTTGTAAAATCAGGGTATTTGTTTCCTGTTCTAGTTCCACCGTGAATGGCAGGTCCTGTCATGTTGAAACCTGGAACCACGTAATATTTTATCTCGACTTTCCCAGAGCATTTGTTGTACTTCGAGGAAGAGCAGAGATTGTTAGTGTAGTGGAGAGACTTCAGGTACATATCTGTGTTACTGATGGAGTGTGCCCAATATGCCACCAATATCTGTACTGTTGCATTCTTGGAAAACACCACCTGATTGGTGGAACTTTGTTAGAAAATGTTACAAAATTTGATAGAAATGACTTTAAAAGGTCTCGAGTTGAGATGTGTAGGGTGGCAGTGGCAACTAGTGAGAATAGAGTTATGGTAAATGTAACTCAAAATGGCACCAAACAACATTGTAAGATTTTCACGAATAATGATGCTTTGCCTGCTATTAGATTTGGATGCCTTGCGAAAAGGTAAAAAATTCAGAGAGGAGGAAAAATAGCAAAACAGTGAAGAAAACACAGGAGGCCTGAACACTTTGAAGTTACCTGTGATATTGCAGAGGATAAGGATGACCAGTAAATTGTTTGGTCCGTAAATTCTGACTGACCTAGCCAGTCCATTGTACTTATTCTAACTGTCTGCTTATCTCCAACAGACTTGATTGTATCAATCCATGCCTGCTCATCCGCTTGATATTTTCCAAATAATAGCTGCAGCCACCAATAATACAAAGATGATCCAATGAAGATTGGCAAGTTAACATGTAAGGGTACAATCTTACAATAGGAATTTTGTTCTTTGAAAACAAAAATAATATAGGCAAAAAATTTCAGCTAATGCCATCATAGGACATGAATGAATTTCCAAGCAGTACGTAAAAGTTTAGAGTATTTCACATGCACGCAGCCAACAAGCCAGCCCAGCAATATAAACAACTCAATTCTATATCAGGTGAATGGCTGCATAAGCTTCAACAATCAATTTTTGGGGTATAAGCACTAATAATTACTTCAAAAAGCAACATGGCAAGGTGATATGTTTTCCACTTCTCATGGAAAAGCAGCCCACCTCTTTAGAAATCTGCACAGAACATCTTAACCAAACCTACTTTACGGGAGGAAGTGGAACAAAATTTCTATGACCAATCTACTGGACATTCTATGACTTGTCTATTACACATGCATTACATAGGATGTTATGGAAAAATGAGGATTATATACTAACTAGAGATATGTTTGAATTAAAAACACAAATAATGGCTTAGAGCGTTCTATCCTAACTAGAGATGATGCCAGGTATATCTGCAGATTTAACAACAATTTTAGCCATTCCTAGCTAAAGTATCTAAGAGCCCTATAACACCAACTCCCAATCCAATGAGATTCATTGACAAATTTTATTCAGTGACTGAGACTAGAATACCTATCTCTTCTGCTATCTAAATCAATGCCGCACTCATTGTAAACAAGCATGTGATAGTTGCACAGTTAGAAAATTATTTAAATAGTAATTTTGTGCTGCCATGTAACGCTAAGACTATCCATTTCTTGTGTCTAGATTCTACCAGGAATATAAATAACTAAAAGTAAACATTACCTCTGGGGGTGCAAATGATAGATAGCTGACTTGGGAAAGCTTGGTTGAATAGTTATTCCCAGGGGTTTGAAATGAAACCACAAACATAAAAGGGTCAGACATAATAGGATATCCTGCAACATGAGGAGTCTCCAGATATCGAGGAAGAGGTGACCTGTAAAAAACAATTAGATACTTACATGAATTAAAAGGTGAAAGGATGTTCTTTCCTCATGCTTAGTTCACTGACTCATCTAAGCTAATTTTAGCTTGTGGATGTAAACTTAAGTTTCATCTGCTTGCTTTCTGAAGTTTGTTATACCATTCACCAAGTTGTATCCTGCCTCTCATGTTCTTGTTCATCCTTAAGGATACAGTTTATTTAATGTTGAAATCCCAACCAACCTTTAGTCTCCACGTAAAGACATGCAGTTAACATTGTTCTAAAACTTATTCAGAGTCACGTAAACCATTCTGTCTTCTCAGAACAGCGAAATTAGTTTAGGAATTGAATTTTGTAGAATTTAAACCTTAACTTTGTAAGAAAATTCAAAGATAAACAATAAAAAAATGACATGAAAGTAGAAAATAGTGAAGCAAATCTCCTAAGTAAACTTGTTTTTATCATCAGAGCCAGACTTACTTGCACCTCTCTTTATGATCAATGAAATGCGACCAGCAAGGAAACTTCCTCTCAACTTGCCACTCTTGATCAAACACTGTTTTTGTGTAAGCTGAAGAATTGAGAGATGCAAGTGTCCATAAATTGTCAAAGTAGACCTCAACCTTTTTAGCTATTTTAGGACAATGAGTAAAATAAATTCCGAGTTCCTTGACCTAGAGCCAGAAAAGTAACAAGTATTGAGACAAGTATAATGGATTGAACATATAACAGATATCTACAATGAAGAGAAGAAGAATTGTATTAACATAAAATATCTATGGAGAAGCTAACAACCAACAGAAAGGTAACATTAATGATCAACCGAGAGAGGTAACAAGCAACATAATACATTTTGCGTCGAGGGTTGATGCTTCATAATCTAGATTAGTGGAGGCCAATTGACATAAGAAAAAAAAGTAAACATAAACAAACATCGCACAGTAACTAAATTACCTGTGTGAGAGATTTCCAGTCATTGTTTGCAGATCCAATATACACATCCCTACTATCAGATATCCAAACTTTGGCATGGACAATGCCGGAGCCCCACCAATCCTCTAGCAGCAATGTCACATTCTCAACATTTGACCTTCCGAAAGCAAGTTTGGATGGTTCTAGTGTAAAAGTTGGATATACTCCAGAGTGGGACAGTAACCTACCTCAATACAATACCCATTTGAACCATAAAACAAAAAGTTAAGATCACCCTGTCTATACATTATAAACACAAAATCCGTCCATTCTGAAAAACCCCATTTCAAAGTTAACTGATTCATGATATAATTATCAAACTGGTACCGTTCAGTATTCAATTCAAGTCTAAAACCCTTAAACATGGGCATTATAAGCCAAATTGAAACGCACCTGATGCTAACATTCCTGTCAGCAGCAGCATCTAATGCTTGAAAAAGAGAAACACCTTGATTGGCACCAAACTCATGCATCTGCTGTTGAGTGTAACCATAGTCCCCAGACCGAGGATCGTTGGGGGAAGGTAGAAGCTGCCAGTATTGAGCAGTTATGTGAAGCCTCGTGGTGGAGTTTGCAGCCAGCCACCGAAGCACATCCCCTACAATTCAAGTATGACTCTCAGAGAGTTAACAATAGTCTCTCCATTTCAAATTTTTACATGATTCCAACCACCATGTGTCTACAGTCCCAACCCAACCAATTTCCATGAAAGACATAGTCAATTTTTTTAATTTACAAGAATCAATCAAATTTGACTTCATATGGAAGCTAATCGAAATTTGGGATTAATATAATCTCCGACTACATACTAATTCATCAGAAAAACACATATTTCTGCTGCAACTAATAATAATAATAATAATAATAATAATAATAATAACTAATAATATTTCGTACCAGTAGAGAGCGTGCCAGGAACACGGGTCAGGTGGGGCATATTGGTGGGAATGGATTGCACTAACCATGCTTTACAGTGGGAAGAGGATGACGGTGATGCACAAACACTGTTCAACAAAATCAATATATTATAACAGACAAAGACACAGTAGACACCAATTCTGGGAGTGTGTCTCATGGTTTTGCATAGTGAGTGAGATAGCATAAGCAATTGTTGTATTATAATTTGCTTGGTGCAACCCAGCTACTACCCCGGTTGACTTTAAATGCATTCAACGTGAAACTATCACCAGCTGGATCTCCTTCGAATATACGGCCAGCTAAATGCTAATTAATCATTACTCATTCATATTATTGAGTATGAATAAATCAACTTTACCTCACCTTATGTCAAAAAAATATTACTTTTGAGTTTCGATAGGACCCATAATATTAGGATCTATGCTGGCCTTGGTCGTTGACTTTAACAAAGCTACAGTAAAACTACCCTCAATTTAAGATAAAAGAAGAATAATGTTTACCAATATCTTAAAATATACTTACTTCTTGTGCTATTCTCCAATTAATATTACAACTTTATGTGATAATTGACATGATAAAAGTTTATATGTAATTGAAGAATAACAAAAACACAACCTTAACAAATTGAATCTAAGTCTTTTTAACAAGTTTATAATAGCATCAAGAAACAGATATCAAAAGTTAATTAAAAAAATAAAGAATTTAAATAGACAGTGTTGATAGAATCATCGAGTTTTATGATAATTATTTTAAAAGTTACACCTTCGATATTATCTTATTAGTTGATGATATAAAGATCTTTTAAGTAATAGTATATCCAAATTAAAATCAAGTTTAAGTAATTGCGTATCAAAATAAATTTAATAGTTAACAATGACACCCTTGTGTAGGTGCAAGGATTGTTCTTAAAAAGCTGGTGTTTGATTCTAGTACAGGACCCCTGACCTTTATCCGGTTGGTTCACATAAAACCTTTTTTTTTTTTTTTTTTTAAGATTTAGCAGTAAAAGTCATGAATCATTGCAGAAAAATCAAATAAGTTGTATACAAGGGCAATATATTTGGATTACCAAGCAGAACCTACACCCAGTGAAAATTCTGTTCGATGGAAGGTCTTAATCTTACACTTGAATGAAACATAAACTACATTACATTTTAATGCAATGCTAATGAACCTTTTTCCTCATTCTTTGCATGCATTGCAAATATGAAAGTAACATCCTACCACTTTACACAGAGACAGCAATTTGAATCTCCCGCACCTTTTCCAAATAATCTACTAACTGCCTAAGAGATAGAATGCCTCTGGTGTCTCAAAGATAGGCCATATGATTTGGTATCCCCATGGCCTAAGGAAGTTGGGCTACTAGAACTCCCTGAAGTCTCTGAGCTTTTATTCTCTCCTTGTACTTTTCTCACACTCCATAACTTGTCAAAAATTCTCCTTGATCTTGATGGAAGCAACTGAAGGCCACTTTTGCTATTTTTGCTATTCTTCTTACCTAATTTCCCATTTTTATGTAACTCTTCATCCTTGATCCTCAAATGGGTCATCTGGTTCTTGATGGGTTGGCAGCTATCTCCCATTGTTTTCTTATACCCCTCATCTCGATTCATTGGAGAGGGTGAAGGGTCACGCGTGCTATTGTTGCCGAGTGATTGAAAGCTGATAGAAGACCTGACCTGATCAAAGAACAGAACTTGAACTACAACTCGAAGAGGAAGACATTCATTCTGCGCAGCATGCATGGAAGCATCAGCTGTTAATTTCCGGACATCCATCAGTCCACATAGTTTCTTCCTTTCTGCTTTAGTCAATTCTGGGTGCTCCTGAAGACAGAAGAACAAAGTTAATCACTGAAATGAACGTCATCAATTAGGTAAAAACTGCAAGAGAATTCTGAACATTGTAAAAATATTCAGACGAGAAAGTGAAAAATAAATCACAACCACAGGACACCAGCAAGCACAGAACCAACTTTCACGTTACCAAAATATGCAGCCAGTCAAATAGGAACCAGTATGAAAAACAACATTTTCTCCACAACAATACAAAAATTGAGTGACAGTAAATTGAATGTTGATTATGGTCAGAAAGTATATGCTTTACATGTTTTTTAACACTTAAGTATGAGACAGATAATAATCAGAAGTTAAGAACTCAGCAGGAATAACCAACAAAACCGTGGAGGAGGAACAAAATGCTACCTTCAAGTAGACGTCTATAGCTCTGTATAGACCATCATGATCTGGTCTAGCAAAATCTGGAATGGATTGTGACAGATCAACAAAACTAGAGAGGCCAAGATTAGGATCATGTGCAATTTCTCCAAGATAAGCATCCACCAACTTGCCAACAGTCAATAAGGACCTTCGTCCTAAAATATATGTATCTTCTCCATGTTTTTCCTGGACAACGTCCATACCACAGCTCCCCTTTTCGTGATTCATATATTGATTCAAAAGACCTTGTACCAAATGAACATCATACGTAGTAATCTGGAGAGACCTTGCTGGAATCAATAAATCTTTGACACAAGCTTCATGCAATTTGAGGCTAATGCTCTTCGTCAATTCTTTTGCTGATGACTCATTTGCTCCAACTAATATGGCAACTCTCAATAGCTTCAGCAAGAAACTACACGAACAACCAATGCCATTATCATATGGCAATAAACATACAATTGTTTCTACCACAGATTTAGTCCTTGAGGCATTGGCACCAGAAACCAATGTTTCGACAGAATCAGGTATCCATCTTAAGGCGTAGGTTTTTAGCGCCTCTCCAATAACAACGCCATCCATTCTTCCCTTTGATTTCACAGCAACCAGTACTCGTTTGTAAAGATCAATGTCCAGCTCACATATGTCTTCAACCCACCAATCCTTAGGAACAGACTCAATTTTCTCTAGAAATGTCATCTTGTCCTCAACAATTTTATCAGGCTCAGTTAATTTCCTATTATAAGTGTAAGACCAAGTGATGTATGCTGGGTCCACACTAGTTTTAGAAGCTATGGAGTCTATGCATCTCCCAATGATCTTCAGGTCCTCAGAGCATGGCAGAAGAGATTTAGAAGTTTGGAGAACAATTATAGAATCCTTCCAGCAGCGGAAGATACTTGAGTTAAGAAACACCTCAATCTTTAAAACCAAGTTTCCTCTATCAACATCCTCAGTCATCTCAAGATACTCGGCTGCACAACGAGCAGCAACAACATTGTAAGCATTAAGAGTAACAGTCATTCCATAACAGAATTTCGCACATATTTCAAAGGCCTTTGGTCCTCCAGGGAAATCATCCAAGTAAATATCATCATCAGAGTTCTCTTCATTAGCTTTTGATACCAATTTTTGTAGTCGGTTGCTCTTTGACAGTAGAGGGAACTGCAATTCTTAAAAGCTCAAAATTAATAAACAACAAAGAGAGGAAGCAAAAATCTAGTTGTGTCACCTAAAACCAAAAAATTGAAGGGGAGGGGGAATGCACATATTAGAACACAAACTTGACACATCTCGTTAAAAACACTAGAACCCTTTGATTGTATAAGCCAGTAATATTAATATTTGAATAATGAATTCCCAAAATTACCACCAGCTAAATTATCTCCCTAGTCATACACATCATATCATTAGATTAATTGAATAAAATACAGCACAGAAGTTTCGATGCCAAAAAAGCATGTACCTTGTGAAGGTGATACTTGACATCACCAACATTAACAGAAACGTCTGTAGCCAATTCAGATGACACATACCTGCATGAGAATTAAATTTGGTATGTAAGCTTGTGAAGGGCATATTTTTGTAGGGAAAAATAAATAGGGACACACAAAACATTCCCCCCTGGTGCAAATATGTATACAAACTGTGTGTATGATTAACCAAATGCCATGTTTGGAAGCCTTGTGTCGTGTGTCAACTTATGATGCAAGAAGTGTTTAAAGTTGTCAGCAAGTGAGATCCTTCAGACAAAATATTAAGATGTGTGCTACTCGTCCCGATCTTAAGATTGTTCTCATCTTAGCAGCAATCAAATAGCTCCCAAGGCCAAAACCTGATGTATGTCTGAAGCGAAAAAGTATCCTTTTCTATATATTACATTTATGGATTACCTTCTTTTCAAGAAATAATAGTGTTTCTTCCCAACTTCCTAAGACAACTTTTGAAAAAAAAAAAAAAATCAACTATTTCCTTGGAAACAATCTCTGGGAAGAAAGGCAATTGTCTGTCACATCATCATAAACTTGCAGGGAAGAAAAATGAATGCAAGACAATTTAGTCCAAGTTAATAGGTAATGGGATACACTTCCAAATAATATTGATTAACCAAAGATGTCTCCTATTTGCACACATACATATACCACACGCATAACAGATGACATTTCATTGTCAAGCATGCTTTAGAACAGACAGAAAAGGGACCAAACCAGGGTAAGCTACCTCTTTAAAACATTCCACCTTCAAGTGAAACTCTTTAACCTTATTATCATTGGGAAACGGGTCCTTCTTTCTGCATGAATTCCACCCTTGTAAATTTTCTCAGGGTCCACTAGGACCTCATTTGGATTTTTTGCATCTACCTTTTATTTAGTTTTTTCACACAATGTCCACATCCACGTACACAAGATAACAAAACAATAATGAGTGCCCCACCCCAGTAACATGGCATACAAAAAATAGCGAGGCAAAAAAAACAGATACGGCGAGTATATTAATATTGTTTTATTAAAAAGGCTTGTGTCGAGCCATAATTGAAGATGATGGGTACTCCACATCACTTTTACCATTGTTGGACCACAAGCTCGTGAAAAACATCACAGTTCAAAGGATGGACCACGATCTCTTTCCCCCACCCTTTTTGGTTTCCAAAAACAAAATTAAAATGTTAACTCACTAGAAACAAAATTAGAAAGTTAACACTATAGCTAACAAGAGAAAGTAGTCTATACACTCACAATGTTCTACACTCTTATTCAATCACAGATCATCGTGTATGATAAATTGTTGACTTCTACAACAATTACCATAAAATTTATATCAACCATGATTTCTGAATGGTTGAGAGTGTAAGATTTTTCTGCATTAACATAAAATTTAAACTCTTCCAACAATGGGGTGGGTGGACAAATCTTGTTTTTAATTTGAAGTCAACAAATTTCTTTGTAGTGGCTGACTAAGCTTAAACAGTTAAATGCATGTTGATAAAATGAAATGAAGGTGTTATTGAAGTTTAATGGTGAAGAGGGGTGCAAAATGCATGCAGGATCTAATCAACAAGGAAAGGAAAGAAGAGAAAGAGAAGGTGTGAGGCTGTGAGATGAATACTGGCACTGACCTTATGGAGTTTCCATCAGCTTGAAGAGCATCAGGCTTGGAACCCAACTTCATAAACTTCATTGCTCTTTTGCTCTCTCCCAGAAGAAAACCAAAGCAAATGTGATTCAGAGAAACACAGTGCAGAATGGTGTTGAAATCTCAAGTCAAGTTTGCATTGCAGGTAAGGTAAAAAAGAAAGAAAGAAAAGAGGCATACAGGGTGGCACTGCCTCAGCCTCAGGTCTGGTTGGACCCTTTTGTCCCTACTCTTTACTCTTTTTATCCACTTTGTCCCTGCACAATCCAACTTTGTCCCCTAGTGTTTTTTTACCTTGGATGATGATGATGATGCTATCTGTGTCGTCACACGTGCCATTTTCCATTCTCTCATGACGTAACAACGCAATTCTTTCTTCCTCATTCTCTTCAATCTTTCTTACACTTCCAACAACCAAATACCACTATGCTTCTCCAACACTTCACAATAAAACAAAGTCATAACTTTTAACTAACATATTTCAAACGTGAAAAAGTTTAAGATTCATTATTTATCTAAAATCCCAGGCAATTACTATTATGTTTTAAAAAACGTTCTTTTAATTTCAAAACTCAAACTTAAAAAAATATATTTTTATTATTACTTTTCACATGTATTCTTTCTCCAAATAGTTTTAAGTGTAGTTATTAAAGGCATATTTAAAGTCACATCAAATTCCACGTTAACGTCTTATAGTTTGATTCTGATACGAGTTTCTGACTTTAGAAACGTCATCACAAACAACCACTGATTCATTTCATACAAGCTTTTGTGTAAATAATAAGGACCCAACAAAATTTTAGTGATTGAACTTGACTTTTAAGTCTGCAATAATGACATGAAAAAACACAAATTATAATCTTACCATTATTCATTTATTATTTTATTTATTCCAAAATTATAATCATTTTAGCTTAGTGCACGTGCATTAAGAAAATGTTAACTATTTGTATTTATAAACTAAAATATTCTTATTTAATTTAATAATTTTGTAAAATATAATATTTTAGTAGATAAAAAATGACGTGACCGAAAAAAATATAACAATAGTTATTTTGAATTTGTAAATAATTATAGTTTTAAAGCAAAACTAAGTTTCTGAAATAATTAACAATAAATTGTTAAGGGTCAAAAATAAATTATAATTTTTACGAAAATTTATTCCAGTAAAAGATATAATAATAGGACCTTATTTAAAAAAAAATCAAAATAATAATATAAAAACATTTAAAAATGCTCAAATTCAAATTTACATGTAAAACTTCATTTTCAAAAGTGACAATCCACCCTCGGCACTTGATCATTTTAAAAACTTTACGATAAGTATATTATAATATTATTTTAGTGATATGCTCTAAGAAAGTAATTTCATCAATCATGTTCTCATCCTTCAGCATAAAGACACCTCTTCCCTTTTGAAATTTTAAGTGTTTGATTCTAATAATCTCGTCGATAATAAATAATAATTAAAAAAATAGACTTAAATTTGTTTTAATTTTGTAATTATTTTTTATATATGAAGTATCATTTCATTAAACCACTTTTTAAATAATTCTCACTAAATTACTTAAGTATTTATTTTTAATTATTATTTATCATTTGTATCGTAAATTTTTCGTTTAATTTTTTTAGAAAGAATATAATTAATATCATCAAGTTATATAATATCTCTTTTTCTCAAAATAAATAATTTGATTGATAATAATATATCATACCTGTTTTTTTTATGTTTATTTCTCAAATCATTTAGAATCCAAATCAATAATAATTTATATATTTTTTTCTCAACCAATAAATACATATTTTAAAAATAAATACGTGACAGATGAGAATTGCAAAAGAGATAAGTGTATTAATGCTTAGTGCAATCAAAGATTATATTTTTTTATGTGATTTTATCAAAATTATCAAATTCCAATAAATTTTAATTTCATACATATTTATTTATACCATGAGTCAAGACTTCATCCTTCTAATTAGATTAAAATTATAAAATAACATTAACATTAATTATAATATAATTATTATTTCAATTATTATATTAATTAAATATATAGTTATTAAATAATAAATAATATAATATTTTTAAAAACATTTTAATAATAAATATTTTTTTAAAATATATGATAAAATTAATTCAACTTCACTTATCTTGATTGATAATATATTAAGTTCAATTGGGCAAAATAAAAATATAAAAAACCTTAATTAAACCTATCCTAAACTTTTTTATTGAAATGAATAATAGGTTTAGTCAAATCCAGCCTAAATATAGTCAACGTCTGTCATAATATTTATAGATTTATATTTGAAAGAATATTTCTAGTGAGAATTTATATTTTATGAACTTTGGGGAGAATCTATATTTTATTTTACCATGTGAGAAAACTCCTTAAATTATTGACATTATTTTTTCTTTTGGTAACGTAACAAATTATTTGTTATTAAAAATAACAAACTCAGTAACGAACAATAACAATATGATAAGATTTGAGGAGATTAAATCTAAAATAATTTATGTCTAAATTAAATAAGGTTAATTTTAGACCAATGTATGGGTTAATCTATTTTATAAAATAATATTAATTTTTAAAATAAAAATAATATTATTTTATTAATATATTTATATATTATAAATTAATTTGATAAAAAATCTATTTTTTTCACAAATTTAATAATTAAGATAAAATACTATTTTGTACTATTAAATTATTATAAAATAAATTATGATAATAAAAAAATAATTTTTATTATGAAATGAATATATTTTTTATAATTTTTTTATTAAATCTTTTTATTATAATTATATTTATTAATATAAATTAAAATTTAAAAATATTTTTTTAAAATATTTTTTAATCAAGTTAAAATTGGTAGGATGAAATTAACAAAAGATTATGACCCATATCTAACTAAATCATAGTTTTGTTTTCTCTTAAACATGTAAAATAAGTTAAAGTGAACTGAGACAACTCTTAATATGATTAAAAAAAATACTCTAATTAATTTTCATGCACAAGTTTTTATTACATGTTTTTCTCTCATAATATATATGAATTTAAAATGATTAACCAATACCTTTAACTCATAACTTATCTTTAAAATATTATGATGATGCAATTTTAATCTCTAATAAAATGAACATGTCAATGTACATGTAATAATTCTTTAGCATAAAAGAAATCATCATTTCAATGAATCAAAATAATATATTTAATGTTATTTTTCTTTTCTCTGTCTTTTTAAATTTTGTTTATTAAAAAATTAAGTACATCATATATTCACATCATCGTAGTGAGATGAATCATACTTATTGTAGCATTTGAACCTAATTATTCAAACATCATAAAGAAAAACACAACACGACATATTCCTGTGATTATAAACATGGCATATATATAAAACAAATATGTCACCTGCAAATCACTGAAACAAAAAACATGTGGACAAAAGGTTATACAACAACATAGCATGCAAACAATTAAGAAAAAAGTGCAATCACCCAACTATGGGACATTCCATAGAAGATACACGTGTACTTGATAATGGAAAAATGCATGAAATAATTCAACATCACCTCCTAACCATTTCATAATCATGGCTTTAATGTTGTGCTTACAACAAACACTTGACACTAAAAAAAACTCATAATAAGTATTGTTACATGGTGGTGGCTTGATACATGGATAGAATGTGATGATTATTCGAAGGTGTAGTCATATAATTTCACAAGGATTATTTTATTTGGTTTGATATTTCTTATGTTCATGTACAACGAGGATATGCTATGTTTTTGTTCCTTTTGTTGCCAATGTTATATTGTTGTTCTCTTTGTACCTATTTGTTTACTTCATTTTTTGTGTTTTGATTATTTATTATAAATATTACAAAGCTAGATCCTGAAGAAATCAATGTTGTAACAGACCTGAGAGTCAAACATTTATTAACGTTTTGAAGAGTCATCAATGTTCTTGCAAATTCTCATATCTGATTTGTAGTCTTATGTAGAAGGGAAGAAGTGAGGTTAATTAATTATTTCATAATTCCCGTTATGCCCTCGAGTCCAACGAGGAAAATGAAAAAAAAAAAAAAAAAATCAAAACGCGTTGGGTCAGATTCAACTAGAAGTACCAACGAGGCTACGTGGTATATAAGTTGAATGCAGTAACTGTACCTAATTGTATAGAAGAAAATCAGATTCAGCACCGAGTCCTGTATCTGTGGTCGCGTGACTACGCTTCTTCTTCAAGTCGAAGCGCGTGAAAAAGAGATTCTAGATCTGGATCTCGAACGCCATGGCGTTTTGGAGAGCACTCGCCTTCTCTGCGGTTCTTCTGCTTCTCATCCATGGCTCTCGCTGCTTTTACCTCCCCGGCGTCGCTCCTCAGGACTTCCAGAAGGTAACCTCCGATTCCCCCCTAACTATCGGTTAATTTATTGTTTTTCGATCCGTGTTTCAATCTGGATAAGTGAGATCTGAGTTTTGTGATATATACTGCGATCGATACTAGGTTTTTGGGTATGAAATCGTTACTGTTTTGTTGAAACTCGAAACAGGAGCTTGAAGTGTGCGGTAGGTAATATAGAATGTGGAGTTTTAGTTTTAGGGTTTATTATATCGTTTCGCTGAAGGACTTTCGCTTCGTAATTCTGATCCTTTTTTGGTTTTTCTATTTGTGTATATATTGCTAGATTAAAGGTTTTAGTTCTATTACTTGCGGTTTGTCCGGTACAGTTTGGTTATAATTGCAATGTTTCTTTTCGTTGATGAATCGATCTTACGATGACTGCTTTAATTCTCTACAGCTAACTAGAAATGGATGTTGTTGTATGTGGAAATTTAAAGCATAACTATTGTCTCTTAGGTTTTGTCATCTATGTTGCTAATGTGTGAAATATGCCTTTACCTCTAGTCTTACCCTCCTTTCAGTTTTTTTTTTGGAGGATTATAGTTGTTTTTTATTACACAAAGGATATATCATTAGATTATGTTGCATAGCTGAAATTCTTGCTTTGTATCACTTTGCTATCTTGTTAGCAACTATAATGGTATTTGTAAAGGATTGAAAAGTTTATTTGACTACTGTCGTGTATCCCCTTCTAAAGAATTGCCTGTACTGGTCTTTTTGTCTTGCTTGTAAGGTGGACAAGATGCGCTGTATTTAGAATTCATTATGGATCTACTTCTCAAGGCCTTAAATGACTTCTTACATATTTATTTGCTGCAGGGAGATCCATTGCAAGTGAAAGTAAATAAATTAACATCGACAAAGACCCAGCTTCCATATTCATATTATTCACTTCCTTATTGTGCCCCACCAAAAATACAGGATAGTGCAGAAAATCTTGGAGAAGTGCTTCGTGGTGACCGCATTGAAAATTCTCTTTATGTGGTCAGTTTTACTTGTTTACTCTTGACAGTTTAATTTGCGACAATGACATGAAATGAATTATTGGTGATATGTTTTCAATCCAGGAACAGTTAAGTGATTAAATACTGAATTTTCTGACCATGTTCACTTCAGTTATTAGTTATGAGTAATAATTTATTGACTTGATTGACTATGTGATTGGTTAACTGGTTATTCATTTGCATGCTGATTTTTTTTTTCCCACTTTTAACATTTTGTGAGTTCCCTTAATTTTGTTATGGTTATGAACTGTTTTCTGACCCATTGATATTTTGCAGTTTAAAATGCGTGAACCACAAATGTGCAATATTGTGTGTAATATTAAACTTGATGCTAAAACTGCTAAGGAGTTCAAAGAGAAGATCAGTGATGAGTATCGGGTGAACATGTATGCCTTGCAAATAATTGTTCTATTATTTTCAGCAAGTATTCTACTACAGTCGTGGTAGGTTTATATCTTACAGTAGCTCTGCCTTTCATGCACAGGATCCTTGATAATCTTCCTCTAGTTGTTCCCTTGAAACGAAATGATCAGGATTCTACTGTTTATCAGCTTGGTTTCCATGTTGGACTCAAAGGGCAGTATAGTGGGGTATGCTCATTATTTCAATAGTACTTTGACTGTTGTTATGAGTGTCAATTAGTATTTTTGCTTATTTTATCTGAATGTGCAGAGCAAGGAGGAGAAGTATTTTATTCACAACCATTTGGCATTTACTGTCAAGTACCATAAAGATGTGCTAACTGAATCTGCGAGAATTGTGGGCTTTGAGGTTAAGCCATTCAGGTCATTATTTTTTTGTTCTTTCATATTAATTTATTCCATTAAATTTTCCACAATTATAGGAGTCTCATGCATTGGGTTTCTCTTTTAATTGGTTCATCCTTTTGTAATATTTAGTATTGATTTTTCATAACTGGGTTTTGCTCTGCAGTGTTAAACATGGATACGAAGGTAAATGGGAAGGCAAAACAACTCGTTTGACAACCTGTGACCCTCATGCTAAACATACTGTTGTCAACTCCAACTCTCCGCAAGAGGTTGAAGAAGGCAACGAAATTATCTTCACATATGATGTTGAATTCCAGGTGAGTTAACGGAGATGATGAATTGTTGAATGTTTATTTCATGGTGTAGAGTGGTTATTGGCATGAACCGAGAAGTTAAGACATATGGTTTGAGCAGAGAAGCTGGTTTATGGTTATGGAGATGTGATAAAAATTTTAAATTCCTCTTGCACTAATGGGCATGTTTATGATTTTTCAATCTTGATAATTTTTTTTTCACTCCAATTAGATTTTCTTTTTTAAAATCCTCCTTTTGTTGTTTATGATGAAATGTGATTGTGGGCTGCATTTGTTATTATCTGCTATTACCTTTGGCTGGTATGTACAGGCGAGTGATGTGAAGTGGGCTTCAAGATGGGATGCCTATTTGCTAATGAATGATGATCAAATCCACTGGTTCTCAATTGTTAACTCATTAATGATTGTTCTCTTCCTTTCGGGTATGGTGGCAATGATAATGCTTCGCACATTGTACCGAGACATTGCGAAGTACAATGAGCTTGAGACCCAAGAAGAAGCCCAGGAGGAGACTGGTTGGAAGCTTGTCCATGGTGATGTATTTAGGCCCCCTACCAACTCAGATTTGCTGTGTGTTTATGTCGGAACTGGTGTTCAGTTTTTTGGCATGATGCTGGTAACCATGATGTTTGCTGTCCTGGGATTCCTTTCACCTTCAAACCGAGGTGGGCTGATGACAGCCATGCTCTTGCTTTGGGTATTCATGGGAATATTTGCTGGTTACTCATCAACTCGCTTGTACAAAATGTTTAAAGGATCAGAGTGGAAAAAAGTTGCCCTCAGGACTGCAACCATGTTTCCTGCAGTTGTCTCTGCCATTTTCTTTGTTTTAAATGCTCTTATCTGGGGTCAAAAATCATCTGGAGCTGTGCCATTTGGTACAATGTTTGCTCTGATCTTTTTATGGTTTGGGATCTCGGTTCCACTTGTTTTTGTGGGTAGCTATGTAGGATTCAAGAAGCCTGCTATTGAGAATCCTGTGAAAACGAATAAGATCCCAAGGCAGATCCCTGAGCAGGCATGGTACATGAACCCAGTTTTCTCAGTTCTGATTGGTGGAATACTCCCATTTGGAGCTGTTTTCATTGAGCTTTTCTTCATCCTCACCTCAATCTGGTTGAATCAGTTTTACTACATTTTCGGATTCCTCTTTTTGGTCTTCATCATCCTCATTGTGACTTGTGCTGAAATAACCATTGTGCTCTGCTACTTCCAGTTATGCAGTGAGGATTACTTGTGGTGGTGGCGGTCATATCTTACCTCTGGTTCCTCTGCACTTTACCTCTTTCTTTATGCAACTTTCTACTTCTTCACCAAGCTTGAAATCACAAAGTTGGTATCTGCAATATTTTACTTTGGGTACATGCTGATAGCTTCTTATGCATTTTTTGTCGTGACTGGTACCATCGGATTCTATGCTTGCTTTTGGTTCACTAGGCTCATCTACTCCTCAGTCAAAATTGATTAGATATAGCAGTCAGCGTTGGACCAATCTGCTATACTTCTTAAAGAATGAAGAACGTTTGTGTAAGGATTTTGATATTCGGATACTAGCATGTTCAGATGTAACCTATTCTATACAATTTTGAACTGTGACGACAGTGATTCTTTTGGTTCAGTATATTTTAATTGCTTTGTCTTAGTAGGGTTCTCGTTTGAATACAGAAGATATTAGGTTGGTTCTACAACAGACTTGTCACTCGGCCATTTATGTGGCTGTTTTGTTGTTAGAGCACTTATCTCAATTGAAGTGAATATTCCATTATATACTTCTAGATAGTTATATCATTTTTAAAACACTAGTTTTTTTTTAATAATGATTATTTTTCTTTTTTAATACTGAATAAGATTTCTGAGTAAAAAATTATGCATATTTTTTTTATTTGTATTAAAATATTTGTAAATGTTATATTGATATAGTTGAAAAATGATATAAGAAAATTTTGATAGAAATAATATTAAGTTACAAACAAGTCAACTTTATGAAGCTTAATATTTTTCATTAAGTAAAATTTAAGCTTATAACTAAACTTGATTGAATAGATCATTCAAAATTTTAATTAAGATTGATTGAATAAATGATTCAAGTCCTACTTCCGTATGATTTGTATTCTATTATAAATAAATAAAAAAATATCTTACTATATTCATCTTCTTATTACATGCAAAGGTGCAAATATAATGTAATAGATAATAGATACCCTTATAATTTTGCATCTGGCCCCAAATTTATTTAAAAGAGTAAAATCATTACTCTAATTCTCTGTGAAAAAATGGGAGCAGTTTGCATTTGTATATTGCAGTGTGACAGCGCGAGGGCTGAGTGTGCATTCCTAATTCCAGAATCATCGTCATTAATATCAGGGTCTTCTTTACCGTTGTTTTAACCGTTACACAGGGTCCACACAGTATCAGAAGAGTCAGTACAGTGGTCCCCACATGCTGTGCTGTGCTGTCTTCTAACTCAACGGCTACTTTCTCTCCTCTTCATCACCATAAATACCACACACCAAACATTCTCGAAAGCAAACCACCATTTTGTGCTTCTGAGATTAAGAAAGGTAAAAACTATCACACACCCTTTTCAGTTCTTAAAAAAAAGAAGGAGAAAAGACCATGGCTGGTTCTTCAAGAGCTCTCTCTGCTTCGCTTTTCTTCTTTTTCCTTCTCCTCGGATTCTCAGCAGCTAAGGAACTATTGGTTGGAGGCAACATTGATGCTTGGAAGATTCCATCTTCTGAAGTAAATTCCCTCAATCAATGGGCTGAAAAGTCTCGTTTCAGAGTTGGCGACTATCTTGGTAACTTCCTACAAAACACGACCATTTTCTTAACATAAGTCTTCAATTTTAAATAAAATTGATCTCGATTAATGATATGATTTTTTTCATTAAGTTTTTCCATAAGCAGTGATTTTGTTCTTCGTCTTAGTATCCTTAAGTTGAACAATGATGTATCAATTTGACAATCTTATTCTTTTTTAACATATATATAGGGGCAACATCTATTGCAATTGGCTGAAAAATTCACCCTTAATATTTTCATCACCATTCCTTTCATGAGTAACACCTCTATGTTTATTTGACAGTATGGAAATATGAGAGTGGGAAGGACTCAGTGTTGGAAGTAACAAGGGAGGAATATGCTAATTGCAGCTCCTCCAACCCCATCAAAGAGTACAGCGATGGGAACACTAAGGTGAAGCTAGATCGTCCTGGACCATTCTACTTCATCAGTGGACAAAAGGGGCACTGTGAGAAGGGGCAAAAGTTGATTGTGGTTGTGATCACTCCAAGGACCACAATCCCTCCAATTTCTCCTGCACCTTCTCCAGCAGAGTTTGAGGGTCCAGCTGTTGCTCCTACTAGTAGTGCTACAACGTTGCAAGTTGGTCTTGTAACTGCTCTGGGAGTGTTGGCTATGTATGGGGGTTTTCTCATGTAAATGAATCACCCCATCTTATTAGCTATTGGGATCGTAAGACTTCCATGGTGAAGTTATTATCATTTCTGGCTTAATTCTTTTGTACCGAATATATATCATTCTTTTTTAAAGATAGCTTTATTGTTTCAACAGACCAGTTACCTCAATATGTGAAAGCTGCGACTTTTTGTCCATGTTATAAACGAAAACATCACACCTACGACAAAAGACCAGTAATTTTAACTTGGCCATTGCACACAATAATATGTTTAACCGCATGTTTGTAACGTACGAAGTCACGTTATATGAATACATTTTAAAAAATAAGCAAGTTATACTGGAAAACTTTTGAGACTGCATTCAGTTTCGGTACTCAAATGGAACTGTCCTGATAAAATATGATTAAGAACTTGATTTAATGTCAAATTAAAAATCCTCACATTAGGTCCAAATTATTATCATGCGGCAAAGGACTAAAATAAATTATAATAACTTATTTTTTATGCACACTTTTTTTTTCTCTAAATCATTTTTCTCTCTAAATTAATAATAATGAATGCGCAATCAATGAGTTGGGTTTCTCAATATGAAAAAAAAAACTTCAGTAAAAGAGTTTATTAGAAAAGAAAAGAAAAACATTGTAAACGTTTTCAATTAACAACACTTATTATTGTAAAATATATCTTTAATTGGAACTTGAAAAAGTTTTCAATTAACACCACTAAAAAAAATTTTATTAGAAAAAAAATCATTTCATTTGAACCTCTTTCGTTCAAATTTATTCAAAAGCTCATTATATATATAATGTAATCTTAACTCAAAGAACGCGACATGAAAGTCAAGAACTTCATCAAATATTCTCTCAAATTGTGCAATCTTGAAGAACTTAAAACATGTCCTATAACTCTATTATATTTCTTAATAATTGTTTAGAACATTTTCTTCTAAAAGACTAACCACATTAATTGCTCCAATGAACATTGTATAAGAACTGATTCTTAAATTTAAGAACCCATAAACAATAAGAAATGCTCCGAGTATCTATGGACTTAAAAAAGTTTACTGTTCTTACTTTAGAAAATAATCTAGAGAGAGTAAATCCAAGAGCCTAATCATCCAACATTGAGCCATGTACATTGTTGAACTGCAAATCCAACCTCAAAACAGGAAATAACAACATAGTTTACCCCCAGTCACAAGCATTTGTCTACTGAAAACTAATGTTAATCAAATAGCTGTTAACCAAAACTGAAATTTGGATATTAGAAACATTCAACGTGCTGATAAGGTACCCAGTTGTCAATTGAAATGGATAGTGAACAATATTGAGCGATTCCGTCACCAAGAAAAAGAATAGAAGCCATTCCCAAAAGCATACAAATGCAACAACGCTATAGTGATATTCCCTCCTATGGACACACGGCTCCACCTTGTTCACGCACACTGGAAATAAAATTCCAAAAGAATAAAGTCTCGGACAGAATAAAAGGAATAAACAACAAATTCGAAATCTTCAAATTGTGGTAAACCAAATACGAATAATTTTCATAACAAGTAGATGTTAGACTTGCAAGTTGTGGGCTTTCACTTGGATTCTCTTCATTTCAAGCAGATTATGAGCATATAAACTATCAACACAATCAAGGTAATTCAGCAGTAAGTTGCTTTGGTCAATGCCTTTAAATTGACATTTACCAATGTTATAATAGAAGCACAAACCAACTTGTTCAAGCTTTTTCCCCAAGGCCAATCCACATTCGCTCCCGTGATTACAATATAATGAAGACAGTCTTTTCACAATATTTCTAGGAAATCTATGACATGTAGCAAGTATATGGTTCTTTAATTTCAATTTTCCCAATGAGTTGTTTGTTACTTATCCAAAGAAAAACAGCTGATTGGATGAATTGCGGAAAACTTCATGCGTAGAAGCAGACTCACACATATATAAATTTTGCATAAATGAAGATTTAAATTACACATCAATCAAAAATTATATTCAAACTTTTTAGTCTAAAGCCTGAACCAATTATGTTCAAAATTGTCATTTACTCATAAGAAACTCTATAGTCTTCTGCACAATGAGCTCCAACAAGAGGGCTCAAGACAGAATGTTTGGGTTAGTTGCTTCAGTGAAAAGCACTAAACACGCCATATATTTTATATTGATTCAAGAGACAATTACATTTAAGAGTAATAAAGAGCAGTAAATATAATTCCATAACTGATGCATGAATCTGAAGAAACACGCAGTAGAGTTGAAGTGTCAGTTCAGAGCCCGTTTCCAACACTTTTCCTCAATGTATTGAATTGGTGGGATCTTGGATGTTGTCAATACATCATGCACTACCACAAACCAGTAGCCTTGTCAGAGTTGTTGATTTTTGGCAGGATGCATGACAGGTTTCGTGTCCAAAATTTTAGGGTTTTTGTCACAAACAAGGATAGGCTTTAGATGGAGGTCTTGATGGTGTGAACAATGGCAATGGATGATGATGTTGATGTCCCTAGACCCTATGGAATACCAACTCTAATATAGCACTAAAACATGACTAATGTCCATATATAGGATATGGGACCCGTTTATATATATAATCAACATGATAAAAATCTAAATTGAAAAATAAGATTTATAAAATTCACATTATAAAAGCAAATTGCTTTAAGTCTTACAGTTTTCATATAAGAATGATCCAACAATAGGGTACTAAGAAACATATCTATTAATAGTTAAACAACTAGTTGCATGCGTGCCAAACAAAAAAAGTTTGAAGCCTCGCAATGTTTACAATACAATTTGATTTTTATTTCTTTTTACTTTTTAGTTTCAAGCCTCACCCACTTTACTCTCAAGCTTTGACCAAGAAGTGCTTGAGTCAAAATTTTTTTTTTTCAATTGTAACACAATGGAGGAGTCAGACACATGTTGAAAACGTATCCAATAAATGTTGTGTTTAAAAAGTGTCAAACATGCCCACATGCTGTTATATAAAGGTGCTGGTACTTCCTAAAATGTTGATCTCTCATGGTGGTGGATAATGTCGGATATGTGCCCAAAGAGAGAAAGCAGAGCTGTTCAAAACCGTTCTAATACCAAGTGGAAGATTGAATATTTTGACAAATTGCTTTAGTGAAAAAGTTACTCAGCAGGCCATATATTTATATTGATTCAAGAGACAATGATATTCTAACTGATGCATGAATCTGAATAATCATGTATCCTAGAATTTAAAAGCCACCTATAAGAATGTTTCCAACTAGGAGGAATTGAGAGCTTAAAATTGACTGACTGACTGATCGAATTACTTGGAAACATGCTAGAGGTTGGAGTCTGTGTATAAAACCAAAGAAATATTCCCTCTCCAGTCATATATCAACCCCGAAATAACAGTGGCACATAGTGAACGATCCCAAAATGCTATAGTATAGTGCATAGTGGGATGATGACAACTATTTTGAAATTTGTTTAACAGTTTGTACACTTCATACTAAATTAAGTAAATGCTCAAAAGTTCATAAATAACAATATAAAGTTATAGGTCTTAGGCTCTTAAGAAAACATACAATAGTTACAAACTAACCCAACAGATAGAGAATTAAGATGTGAATGGGTATTAGGTCTCCACGAGATAGATAACCACAAAAAGACCTCAAAGAACTCACGCAGAGAGACAAACACATAGGAAACAAATTAACAGGAAATAGAGATTGATGAGAACAGGATTACGAGAGGGAAAAAAGAAACTATTAGGGTGTTCGGTCAGCAAAACAATTTTCTACTCTCATTTCTTGTTTTCATTTTCATTTTTTAAGATTTACACAACTCTTTTGAATTTCCTTCTTAATTTCAAGGAGGTAGCAGATCTTTTTACCATTGAGAGAGAGAGAAAAATGAGAAAAGAGATATGGGTGGCAGCAGGTCCCTCACCCTTTTGCAGTGTTTTCTCCCCAAAATTCCCTAAAATACCCTTCATACAACAAAACGATCTATCTCACTTCAATCCATATTATTTCTGCCATGAAAATGGCCGCAACATTGAAGTGCCCTGTGACAGTGAGACAGTGTAGTGGCCAGGGGCCACTCCATCTCAAAATGATGCTATTGTACAGTTGAAAAGCAGACAATGTAGTAGTACTTAAAAAGAGTAATTCTATTCCCACAACACTAAATCATAACAGTTTTTCACAGCTCATTTTTTCTCTTCATTGGTCACATATTCTCTTTTTTTCTCTCTCCTTGCTGTAAAGGATGTTACAAGATGTTTGTGGGAATAGGACTTTTCTTTGACATATAGTAGGTATTATTACATTAATAGGCAATGTGATCTTCTAGTTTTCATGCTCTTCCAAAGTTGTTGACCTCAAGTCCTAAGCTCCTACAGTATTATCTGAGTTGGTATGCTGCAATAAATTCCATTTCTAGTAATGTTTGAACTGTTTAGCATATAGAAATTGTACACACATGTTTCACGTGCAATACTCAAAAAGTCTGTAGTTAAAATCCAATCACATAACACAACTAACAAGTTATCCAACAACTCACTTAACTGCAATTATGTCAAAATGAATACTTCTAATTTAAGTGTGAGTTGAATTCCAACATTGGATTAAAATAGAAAAATTAAGTAACTTATAAGTAAAAAAGACCCATAACCTAATCCTTTAAAATTTGAAAGTGGTATCATATTTTTTTATATAGTTAACCTGCGTCCTATTGTTGAGAATCTCTCTCTTAACTCCCTTGAAAATACTCAACATAAATTGTACACATGTTTGACATCCCATGGGATACCATAACGTCTGTAGTTAAAATCCAATTACACAACACAACTAACAAGTTATCCAACAACTCACTTAATTACAATTATTTCAAAATTAATGCTACCAATTCTTTTATTATATACAAAAAGTTTACTGATGCAACTTACAGTTATGCTAAATTGATAGACTGTATATCTGGAAAATCAGATGGATCATGAAAGACAAATATTCAATGAACACTATTAAATAATAACAAAGTGTAAAAGTAGTAAAAAAAAAATTGTATCTAGTTGCTCTAATCATCAAATGTGCTACAATTTCCCAGTTGGTTGGCTCGCATATACCTAGTAGGCGTATCAAGAGATTTGCAAAGACCCCCCTAAAACTGTGTTATTTGTTCAGAGTTCATTCTAATGCTGATTAGAGAAAATTCCTAAATTATAGATCAAATTCTCACCAGATACTATAATAAAAGACATGTATCATATGAGTAGGGACATTAAATTCACACATACAAAAATAAGTAAACAATAACATTATGAGAAACTCTACCAAATTTCAGGAAAATCAGGACATGGACTGTTCATCATCATCATCATTGTCATCATCATCCAACATATCGACTTGCAATGGCCCCTTAACACTGCCACTGTTATCACCAAGAAGCTCCCGGGCTGCTTTCTCCAAAAAATCCTTAGCAGCTGCTTTAACTGATTGTTTTTCAGAAGACTGATACTTCCTCTTTTGACCTGCCCGACCCAGATGGTTCGTCTTTGATCTCTCCCCTCTACTAATGTTCCTCATATTTTCCCTCTGCTCTGCACAAAATAAGCCACTTCTCTTTATATACACGACATCAAATTGGAAGGGACAAAATAGATGACCCTTGAAAGGTGTTGAATATAGAAGAAATAGAGTTTGGGATTAATCTCCCTTGTGTATAAATCACACATAGGGTAGTCTATTTATAGTAGAGAGATACAACTAAAAGAGTAACTGAAAGTAACAGAATAAACAGAAGATATTGTTTGATATTATGGTTAATATCTAACAATATCTTAACAATATTAAATAATATCTAAACAATATCTAACACTCCCCCTCAAGCTGGAGCATACAAATCGTATGTGCCAAGCTTGTTACAAATATAATCAATTCTAGGACCCCGTAAAGATTTAGTAAAAATATCTCGCTAACCGATCACTTGAGTTAACAAACTCGGTCTTGATGTCTCCGGACATAATCTTTTCTCGAATGAAATGACAAGTCAATCTCAATGTGTTTGGTCCTCTCATGAAAGACAGGATTAGAACTAATATGAAGAGCGACTGATTGTCACACACAAGTGACATTTGAGTGACATCTCCAAATTGTAACTCTCTAAGCAATTGCTTGAGCCAAACAAGTTCACAAGCAGCTGAGGCCATAGCTCTATATTCTCGCTTCGCACTAGATCTTGCCACAACACTTTGTTTCTTACTTTTCCATGAGACCAAGTTACCGCCAATGGAGACACAATATCCGGATGTAGATCTTCTATCGGAAGGAGATCCCGCCCAATCAGCATCCGAGTAGCAAACAACTCTTGTATGGTTATTAGAATCATATAACAATCCTTTTCCAGGAGATCTTTTAATATACTTTAAGATACGAATGACTCGCATTCCAATGATCTTCACATGGGGAATTAAGAAATTGGCTTACCACACCGACCGCAAAGGAAATGTCGGGACAAGTAACCGTAAGATAATTCAATTTTCCAACCAATCTTCTATACTTGTTCGAGATCGGTAAAAGCTCCCCCGATTTGGTAAAAGTTTAGTATTGGGATCCATGGGCGTATCAACGGACTTTGAATTCATCAACCCAGCTTCCTCTAAAATATCCATGGCATACTTCCTCCGAGATATAACAATACCATCATTGGACTGTGCCACCTCAATACCCAAGAAATATCTAAGTTTGCCAAGATCTTTGGTCTAAAAATGGTGACAGAGATGTTGTTTCAACCGAGAGATGCCATGGTTGTCACTACCTGTAAGAACGATGTCATCAACATATACTATCAAGTAAACACATCCAAGCACTTGAGTGTCGATAAAAGATAGAGTGATCTCGCTTCACACCGAGTCATACCAAATTGTTGAACAACCTTGCTAAACTTTCCAAACCAGGCCCTAGGAGACTGTTTTAGGCCATATAGGGATTTGCGAAGACGACATACCATCCCGTAAGACTCCCCCGAGCAACAAACCCAGGAGGTTGCTCCATATAGATTTCTTCTTGCAAATCACCATTGAGGAAAGCATTTTTAACATCTAGTTGATAAAGAGGCCATTGTTGAAGAGCGGCCATGGCGATAAATAAACGAACGTAAGTCATCTTTGCCACAGGGGAAAAGGTATCTCCATAATCCAAACCAAAAATTTGAGTATAACCTTTGGCCACAAGACGTGCTTTGAGGCGATCAATAGTACCATCGAGTCCAACTTTGATAGCAAACACCCACCTGCAACCAACAACAGATTTCCCAGACGGTAACGAGACCAAATCCCAAGTTCCACTATTATGAAGAGCACTTAGTTCATCTAACATGGCCTGACGCCAACCAGGATGGGCTAAAGCTTCACTGGACGCTTTTGGAATGGTCACGGAAGAAAGAGAGGAAAGACATGTATAAAAAGGTAATGACAATCGATGATAACTCAAACCAATATAATGAGGAGAGGGATTACGTGTAGAACGGATACCTTTTCGGAGGGCAATGGGAAGGTCGGACTCGGGTGTCACATTCGGAGGAGACAGAGTAGTTGACACTTGAGTAGAGTCACATGGTGGTGGTTGTGATTGGTTTCGGCAACTATAAACCCGAAGAGGTAGTGAAGAAGAAGTTGATCACGTGAGTAGAATCTAATGGTGAAGAAGACACAATTAGAGGGTCACAAACAACAGGAACATTAAATGTACTAGGAGTGTTGACAATATTGGATGGAGACAGAGGTGAAGATTGACTTTTAAAATAAAAAGAGAACTCATCAAAGGTGACATCTCGCAGACACAAAATAACGGTTAAGAGAAGGAGAAAAACATTTGTATCCTTTTTGTGATCTTGTAAACCCTAAGAAAACACATTTATGTGATCTAGGAGAAAGCTTGTCAAGACTAGAACTAAAATTATGAACAAAACATGTAGATCCGAAAACTTTTAGAGGTAAGGGATGAAGTGGTTCATGAGGGAATAAAATGGAATGAGGTATTTTATTATCTAGAACCGAAGATGGCATGCGATTAACAAGATAACATGCAAGTAAGAAGAGCATCACCCCAAAAATGCCGAGGAACCTCTCCATGAATTAAAAGAGTGCGAGTTGTTTCAATAAGATGTCTATTTTTACGTTCAGCCTACACCATTTTGTTGAGGTGTATAAGCACAAGAAGTTTGATGCAAAATACCATGAGAAGCCATGAATTGTTTAAAAGAATGAGAAAGATATTCACGACCATTATCATCGCGCAAAACTCTAATAGAAACACCGAACCGAGTTTGAATTTCATTGAAAAAAGTTTGAAAGATATGAAATAATTCGAACGATTTTTCATCAAAAATAACCAAGTACATCCGGAATAATCATCAATGAAAGTAACAAAGTATTGAAAACCTAAAGTAGACTTAACGCGGCTAGGTCCCCAAATGTCGAGTGAACCACGACAAAAGGGGACGAAGCACCACGTGTGACACTACGAGGAAAGGAAGTACGAATATGCTTGCCTAATTGACACGACTCACATGCCAAACTAGACAATTTAGATAAGGCGAGGACAAGTTGTCGTAACTTGGCAAGACTTGGATGACCTAACCGAGCATGGAGAAGAGAGGGAGACTCTATAACCGCACCAACATGTGTAAAGGGACGAAGATGATAAAGACCATGAGACTCACATCCCGTGCCAATCACCTCGTTTCGAACTCCGGTCCCGTAAACACACGTAATTGTTGGTAAAAGAAACAACACAATCAAGAGAACGAGTTAGACGACCGATGGATAACAGAGTTAAAAGGAGACCCAGTGGACATAAAGAACATTATCAATGGTTAAAGAAGGGAAAAGTTTAACAGTTCCAACACCATGAGATGATACTCTAGAGCCATCGCCTAGTGTAACAAAAGGTAAAGGATCGGGAGAGGATAAAGAGGAGAACAAAGATTTGTTACCGATAATATGATCAAGTGGCTCCCGAATAAAAAACCCAAGGACCAGAAGAAGATTGGGTCGGACCAACAAAAGATGTACCTGTGTGTGCGACAGCACACAGTAGAACTAGAAGACTCGTTGATCCTTATACCATTTGAGAAATTTGTTGAACATAGCAGGTGTGTCTCGATGAAATAGAAGAAGGAGGATCCTTAGCAGATAAAGGTGGGAAAAATCGGTCCGAGCAACTGCAGTAGATCGAGTAGGACGACCATGTAATGCATAACACTTGTCAATCTTGTGACCTAGTTTGCCACAATGTTCACACTCATGTAATGCATAACACTCGGTCAATCTTGTGACCTAGCTTGCCACAATGTTCACACTTAGGACGTCCTTTTCCCTCGTTTGCGAGGGCGAGTTCGATCATCACGGTGAGATACCAATGCGTAAGAATCATTAACGTAGCAGTGTGTGTCGGGGTTGAGTTTTGCTGGTATACGCAAAAGAGTGGAGCAGGTCGATGTCAAGGTGGGGACAACCTGGAGAACCCAAAATCCGATCACGAATATGTGAATATTGATCGAGCAAGTCCGTGTAATGCCCCTAGCATGAAGAACTTTGATCGTTGTCCTATCTCGGTGGCGTGGTCGGGGAAGGAGGCAATAACTCATTGAACTCATGAAAAAGAGCATGAATTTTGCCCATATAATCAATCATAGAATCTTGATGTTTAGAGGAAATAACATCTACAAATTTAGAACAGACATCATAGAGACGTTGAGTATCATTGGTGTATAATAACTTGGCATGTTCCCGCATTTTTGCACATGTTTCGTAGGAACGAAAAATTTGTTTTAACGAAGGATCAAGGGTACCCTTGAGAACCACGCATAATTGAGCATCAATGGTGTCCCAACGGTCTTCCTCACCAGGAGTGAGAGTAGGTGCTTTCGGGCAAGATGATCAAGATACTTCGACTCTTAAGCCATAATCCGACGTCCGATGACCATGTGGCATAATTAGGGCCGCTTAACTTGTCAATGGATAAGTGCACATTAACATAGTTAGTGTAGATGGAAGGATCGGATGCAGATCGACGTAATTGGAAGTACTAAAAGGAGCGGAAGAACTCATAAAGGGCGAAGGCGATAGTGACAATGGCGTGAACCAAGTACACCGGGTAAGTTCCCGGGAAAGAGAGGTGGGTCACTAATGGACACGCTTAAATACCAAGTCTTTCCTTGTCGAACTTTCCTAGACATGCACTTTCACACTACCAAATAACCGACAACGATAGCGGCGGTGGTGGCGACTTCAATAGTGGTCTAAGGCGGAAAAAAAATTCAAAATAACCTTAAGCTCTAGATACCATGTTGAATATAGAAGAAATAGAGTTTGAGATTAATCTCCCTTGTGTATAAATCACACATAGGGTAGTCTATTTATAGTAGAGAGATACAACTAAAAGAGTAACTGAAAGTAACAGAATAAACAGAAGATATTGTTTGATATTATGGTTAATATCTAACAATATCTTAACAATCTTAAATAATATCTAAACAATATCTAACAAAAGGAATAAAATAAGAACAAAACTTGGATGCAATTCCTTAGGTGCTTTTGGTATTGTTTTCCGCTTAGCCTTGGAATTTCACATTGCTACCGTGACCTTTAATTCGAACCCTTTTTTTACGCAAGGCAATATAAACTCTAATTTTGACCAGAAATCAAAAGCACCTAAAGAACAGCATCCAAGTTTTGTCTACCACTCACCAGAAGTTAGGTCAGGCAGAGAGTGTTCTATGAAGCGAGTAGCCGCCTGATAATTCAAGGTAGTAGAAGGTCGCAGTGGAGCTTCACAAACAAAACTGAAAAGTTACTCCAATGCAAATAACTCACACTTGAAAAACACACATTAGCAGATACATAATAACTAAACAGATTATAAGAAAGAAAGAAAGAAAGAAACATGTACCTTTACTCAAATCAAGCAAACGTCCCAGTTTGTCCTCGTACAAGTTCAACCTGTCCTGGGAAGACGAAAATCAAACACTTGTTAGCAAATGTTAAGGTTAAGCAAAAGACAGAGTCGTCAGAAACTCACGAGCTCTGATTTAATGGGATGATCATCTGGGTGGACCCCGCTACACCTCAAATTCACTGAAGAGAATGAAAGAGAGAACATTAAGGTGGAATCAAACTCGAAATTGCAATAGTGATGATAAAAAAGATGCTTTTTTTTTTGGATTACATGCGAGAAGGGTAGAAGTGATTTTGGTGAGGATGAAGAGGGTGTGAGCGCGTTGAAGAGGGGGCATTTGGGAGAGGGTTTGAGGATCGGAGAGAGACAAAAAGTCGTTAAAGTGCGTTCGGAGTTGTTGGAGGTTGGAGAGAGTGGTGTTGGCTGCATCCACAACCGGTTCAGGAACTGCACTGCTCTCACTTCCTTTCACCATTTTGAAATTCAGAGGTTGGAGCATAAGAGAAAGTGCTAGCTCCACCCTATCACACACACACACACACAGAACACAGGTACAAGGTAGGGTTTGGTCTTTGTTTTGTCCTACAAAATAGAAGAAAACACAGAGTTGATGTTGTTGGGTAAGGGTGTCAACGACCCAACCTTGTTCACAGGGGACTCATTTACATGTTGCAACTCGTTCAAAATCTTTGCTTGGGTTATGTTTAGAATTTTTTTTCTTAATATTAAGTAATTTTAGTTAATGACAATAAGTATTTTCTTGTATAATAAGATGAAGTGAATGTGTATTTTATATAAGTGTATTTGTTATAAATAACCTTTTCAATATTAGAATTACTATGGTTAAAATTATTAATAACTAGACATGGTTTATATTTAGATTTATAACGAGATAATTTAGATTGTGATATACTTTTTTTAACAATAATATTTCTTTTAAAAATCATTGAAAATTATTTTTGAAATATAGCTAAAATATAAAATGTTATAAAAAAATTGGTATAAGATTAAAAAGATTATATATCAAATAAGGTATATGAAAGTAATTTATAAATAAAATAAAAGTTATAATCTTCAAATGGTATATTTGTTAATATTTTGGCAAACATTACCATTGATAAGTAACATATGATAAGATGTTTTATTATTATATATTATAATAATATTATTACGCAAGAAAATTTAATAATAAAGTTTTCCTAAAAAAATTTCTTTTATATATATATATATATATATATATATATATATATATATATATATATATATATATATAAAGGGATGAGGCAGAAAAAATTTAATAAGTAGTTTTTCTTCTCATATTTCTTCTTCTTTTGTCTAAATTTCAAGTAACGAGATTCTACTCGTGTAGGATCTCGTGAAACGAATAACACTTGAATTAAGTGGAAAAACTTGGTAGAAATACCATACCAGGGTAAGGGAAAATTTAATTCATTCAATATATGAGACTCGAATTGTTGAGTACTCTGTGAATAAAGAATAGGAGTGAAAATCGAACATTAGAATGATTGATTTTGAAGATTTCTCATGTTTTGCAAAACTTCAAATTTTGTTGGAATTCTTGAAATTAAGGTTGAATTATATGGTAAAATTGTTATTTTCAACTTAAATTAGATATAAGTCATCTTTAATTTGAATTTGGGACTAGTTTGGTTGTCTAAAACTAAGTAATTTGAAATCTGCTAAAATCTGCAAAATTTGATATTGTTACTGGACGCGAGGAAGAAGAAAGGGACATCGAAGGAATTTTTGAAAATGTTCAAGGGTAAAATAGTCATTTTCGAGACATGGAAGGAATTTTCGAAAATGTTCAAGGGTAAAATAATCATTTACGGGGTATGGAAGGAATTTTCGAAAATGTCTAAGGGTAAAATAGTCGGGGACATATATGAAATTTTCAGAAAAGATTAAGGGCAAAATAGTAATTTAATGATTTCGAAAAAAAAAAAATATATATATATATATATATATATATATATATATATATATAATATAGAATAAAGGTAGCGATTTTAAAGATTTAGTAATGTGTTGTGACGTGTGTGGGTCAGACTGAGTCTAAGGGCTCATGCCCAGAATCAGTCATGAGATGTTATGTATTGGCTAGACTGAACCGGATGGTTGGTGCCCAGAGTCAGTCAAATACTATTATTTATTGACCCGAATGAGCCGTGAGGACAGGTGGTCCAGAATCTGACAGATGTGAATGATTTTTGTTGTGTTTGAATGATACTCGAGGTGGTACAGAGTACATTAATGTAATAACTATGTCGGAGGATTCTAAATGAGGTCCCAGACTTCACTGATTGGTCGGGTCAGGTAGACTACGAGATCAGGTGGTGAGAAGTCGATCGGGGGATGACTGGTGGCGCGCTCGGAGGGGTACTCCAGTATGAGTGATGAAGGGCGCCAGTAGTCTTACTCTTTGTGGAGGGTGGTCAGAATGGTACTGCGAGTGTCGATCACAATGTGCCCACAGATGATAGTCTCTGAGTTCAGACATAGTTAGGGTAGACTTCCGGAAGACGTCTTAGTGTATTAATAATTTGTAATTGATGATAATATGTAATTATTACTTCTATATTTGTTTTATTATATCGAATGATTTAATACTTACCCCTATTTTTCCATGTGGATGGGACTGCGATGATCACTTTTATGTGGGAGCAGATCAGGAGTTGAGAGGTGAAGATGCGACTACTGTACAGTAGGGATAGTTCAGTGGGGTAACTTTGTGGGAGCTACTTTTGTATGTATCTATATAAATAAATTATGTTACTATGTTTTGAGGTTCTACCAATGAACCGAAATTTCAGTTTATATTACAATTATAGTAATATAATGTAATATAGATGTTGTTATTTACTTATTTACTATTTTGCGAATGTATCATTATAGTAACAATTTCTAGGGTCGTTACAATAGTGGTATCAGAGCGGTAGTATCCTTGTAAATTTATGAGGATGGGTAGTAATCCTATGATAAGTTTATTGTGCTCTGATATCTGAGTGTGTGTGAATGTTTGCTCTGTATTTATGGTTGTGTTTGGTATAGGATAGCACTGCGACCTCCTACTCCTACTCCGCCGAGTGTAGATGCCCTAGCCAGGGCAATGGAAATATTGGTAGTTGTCATGTAGTAAAAGGCTACCTACCCGTAGCTAAGGTCAACTATGACGTCATCCTCTGTTGGATTCCACCAGTCAGAACAGATGGGGCTGACTGAGTTCATGAGGCATAATCCGCCTCATTTTGGAGGAGATTTGGGTCCATATGTAACAGAGAAGTGGCTACGTGAAGTGGAGAAGATTTTTGAGGCTACCTTATGCCCGGAGGACATGAAATTGACCTTCGGGAAATACTTACTAGTGGATGAGGCTGAGTTCTGGTGGTCAGGGACTTAGAAGATGATGATTGCACATGGGGAGGTGTGTAATTGGGAAACCTTCCGTGAGAGATTTCTGGAGAAATACTTCCCTAACAGTATTAGATTTCAGAAAGAGACTGAGTTCCTGAGTCTGAGACAGGGCAATATGACGGTGCATGATTACGCCGTACGATTTGAGAACTTATCTTGTTTATACACAGGTACATCTTTAGAACAGTGGCTTTGTAGGAAGTTTGAAGATGGCTTGAGGGCTGAGATCAAACTCATGATGGTTCCTTTCTCTATCAGGAGATTCCCAGAGCTGGTGGAGAAAGCAAAGACAATAGAGAGATTCTGGGAAGGAGGAGTCAGAGTGATGAGGACCCACCAAAATGGGGTCCCGAATGGGGGTAATATATCAAAGAGGAGGATGCCTTATTCACGTCCCCAGTCTTCCAGGAGTGGCAGCGTTATCCCAGCACCCAGATCATCGGGATCTATATCCGGGGTGAAATGTTTTCAATGTGGAGGCCCTCATTACAGGAATCAGTGCTCACAGAATGCCTTCACTACTCCTTCTCAGACTTCTCGGGCAGGTCTTTGCTACACTTGTTAGAAGCCAGTACATATGGTTAGAGACTGTCAACAGAAGCCTAATGCTATAGTCTCAGCTAGGGCATCATCAGTACTCAGGGGGAGTGAGGCGAAACCCAGAGCTGTAGGGGGGTGTTTGCCTTGTCAGGAGCAGAGACATCGATGTCAAAGAATTTAGTGCAAAATGTGTTTTTTATCTTTGATATACCTCTACGAGTTTTGTTTGATTCAGGTGCTACTCATTCTTTTATTGCTGATAATTATATGGATAAACTTAAATTACCTGTGTGTGACCTACCCTATGAATTAAGGGTATCTACCCCAGTAGTTGGATTGGTGGTGTCTTCTTATGTGTGATTGAGGTGCCCAGTTGTCGTAGAAGGACGACAGTACAAGGTGAACTTAATCAGTTTACCTTTGAAAGATTTGAATGTGATCTTAGGGATGGATTGATTATGCACCAATCGTATTTTGATTGACTGTGGACAAAAAAGGTTGGTGCATCCGGAATCAGGAAATGAACTTATTACATCAACTCGACATGTTCAGAAAGAGCTACGAGAGGGAGCTCAGTGTTATCTGATCCTTACTCAGATAGATGAAGTGAACGATAATATACTGGAAGAGGTATCGGTTGTGAGTGAATTTCCTAATATATTTCCAGATAAGATACCAAGGTTGTCACATCAGAGAGATGTCGAATTTGGGGTTGATCTAATTTCAGGTTCAGACCCAATCTCTATGGCATCATACCGGATGACTCCAACAAAATTGGCTGAATTGAAGAAACAGGTAGAAGATTTGCTAGAAAAGAAGTTCATTCGCCCGAGAGTATCTCCATGGGGAGCTCCTGTATTGCTAGTAAAGAAGAAAGATGGGAGCTCCAGATTATGTATTGATTACTGGCAACTAAACAAGGTGACTATCAAGAACAAGTACTCGTTGCCGAAGATTGATGATTTGTTAGACTAGTTATAGGGAACATCAGTCTTTTCTAAGATTGATTTGAGATCTGGATACCATCAGATGCTGGTTAAAGAAGAGGATGTACATAAGACGGCGTTCAGGTCGAGATATGACCATTATGAGTATGTGGTCATGTCATTTGGAGTAACAAATGCACCTGCAATGTTCATGGTCTACATGAACAAGATCTTCTATCCTTATTTAGATAAGTTTGTTGTTTATTTTTATAGACGACATTCTTATTTATTCTAGAACTCGGGAAGAACACCAGGAACATCTGAGGGCGGTGTTGGTTGTGTTAAGAGAGAAACAGTTGTATGCCAAGCTCACAAAATATGAGTTTTGGTTAGATCAGGTGCAGTTTTTGAGACATGTAATATCGACAAAAGGGATATCTGTATATCTTGTCAAGGTAGATGCAGTGTTAAAATGGGAACTCCCTAAGACAGTGACGAAAATGCGTAGCTTTGTGAGGCTTGCTGGATATTACAGAAAATTTATAGAGGGTTTTTCTAAAGTAGTAACTCCTTT